CCCCACATTTCCACTTACTTGCTCTTACTTACTGTTTCCACGGCAACACAGTTTAACAAAGACCTAAGCTGGGAGAGTATTTTTGGCTTTGGGACACAATTGTTTCCTTTCCGTTAAAAGTGTTATCTTGCTGTATGTTTCTGGTCTAGGGGTTATTGTTATAATTATGTTGGAGTTGTTTTCAAATGTTGCAATAAACCAGACCTTTAACCTCCTTGGAGATAGATATTGAGGATATAAGTGCAAAGGTTCTAAGATACTGCCATTTAGCTGCTCGATGGCAAACGAGGCAGCAGAGTTTGTAAGATCACGGAAGGAAAGGGAGACATATTTCAGCATAGAGAAAATGAAGAATTTGCTAAGTGAACAAAGAGCTTTGGATGGATCTAAATGTCCCAGGGATGTAAAAATGTAAGTCAGATCCTTTTATGTAATATTATCTTACTCACTTATTGTAAGAATAAGAAGAGATGTATGTATGGTTTTGAAATCTAGGGACATAAATGTTGTAATTTTGCTGTTGAGAACACAAGGATCCATTTCCTTTTAACTTTCATTTAACTTTTTTTATTTTTCTACTTAAGCCACAAGATAAGATACGTTTTGTTTTCCGAAACTGTCCTGTTTTGTGAATAAGTTACCAGAACATATGCAGATAAAAAATGGCTACTAATGTGTTCTTTTGGTGATCTATCTCCGAACGTGACAGGATAAACAGTACTTTTGGTATATTCCTTTCTTGTGATCTTAAGCTTTCACCAGATATGTTATCAGTTGTTTGGAATGTTTTTGATTTTTCAGGTGGTGATTAAGCTAGTAAGAAAAGTGTTTCTTTCTTGGCGGCGGGGGTGGTTGTTTTTTTTAACCAATGCTCTGTGGTTTTGCACTTTAGAGTCAAAGGCCAATTTCCCAGCATGAAACGTACCCGACCCCCCTCGGCCTCCTCTTGCTTTCTATTTACAAAGTGATAATTAAGTGCTTCAGGTGACATGGGGCGTTGCATATGTGACTTTTCTCTTACTTTAAGAAAAGCGTTCAACATTGACATCTATGAGGTTTGTATGACTGTGCCGGAGAGAATGTTAATCTTCTTTCATGAATGCCGCTGACATGAAACGCACTGTGAAGTTAAGGGTTACAGGAAGTGGTTGTTAATTCTCATCTGATGCTGCCAGTATCTTTATCAAGAATCAGTCCCACATTAGTCTGAGTCCGTAGATTTAAACCTTTGCTGTTGAGTTCTATTCTTTGAAATTAAAATCACATCCACACATGGTCGATGTAAAGCCATTTTTGAAACTACACATATTCTATGAATCAGTCAGTTATCAGAATCAGACCATTTTTAACCCTGATTTGCTCTGACTGTTGATCTGTGGATCATAAGCGTCGTTAGACCTATTTAAGGGTGGCTTCAGCCACCCTTTCTTTGGCATTAGCCACCCTATAATTATTTTGCGATTTTAAAAAATATATTTTTTTTTTCTGTATTATTTTTTCCTCATATTTTCCCAAAACAAATGCAGTAAAGCACCGAATAAAAGCCATAAAGAAGACAAGTTAATCTGAACAATCATAGGCGTAACTTCCTTAAGGACTGGTGTGGACATGTCCCCACCAATATTTTGTACACGTATTTTGCTTTCGGTGCTGTGTATATCTGATTAAAACCCCATTCATGCCGCTCCTCAGAAAGAAAATAAAAAAAAGTTCTCCCCGCTGCTCACCGTCCACAAACCCCGACAAAAAAACTCAGAAAAAAGAATCTGTTGCCTCTCGCTTTCTCCCCATCACCCCCCTCCAACCTCTCCCCATAACATTTGAATTGAAGATATCCGCGGGTGACGGGTCGGGTTCGGTAGTCATCCTAAGGGGTTCGGGCGGGTGCGGGTTGGTAAAACTCGACCCATGCAGGTCTCTAAGCTACACTACATTCAGTATCGTTGCCATAGAAACAGACAGCAGCGCCAATATATCAGAATTATACTAAAACACACGCAAATAATTTCCCACATAAAAAACAGGACTTTCAGTCCATTACAGTTTTCCGTTTTTAGAGGGTTGTTTATTTTGTGTTTATGAAGTGATGGCTGTGGTATATTAGCTTTCACTGCTATAAGCTTTCGCAGCAGTGATTGATTAATTTAAACACCTGCTCTACTGATGGTCTATCGGAGTTGGTGTTTAGGTTGAACATGAAGAACACCTTTTATTTGAAGCTTCTTGTAGCTACTGTTTTAATCCCGGCTTCACTTAAAACTTTTTCCTGACTTTGATAGTGTTGCCATTCAGTAGCAAGCACTGCGCCCCTTTTTCTTTTATATGTACACGTACATTTAAGATTTAGCGTGTTAAGTTGACAACTCATGAGCAAGCTGCTTTTTGCAATCTAGCAGGAAGGTAAGGATAGGATCCTGCAGGTGTGACGTCACTCTGCAGGGGGTCCAAAGATAAAAGATTTCAACAATTTTGGCATTGGAATTTCAGATTTAAGGGAGTTAGAAAGTTCACTTAGTAAAAGTGCAAATAATAAATCTGATTACAGATTACTTTTAAGCTGGTTGAACATACTGCGACAGACTGGTGACCTGTCCAGGGTGATCCCACCTCTCACCCAGAACGTGGCTAGAGATATGCACCAGCACCTCCTGATCCCACTGAGGGATAAGGTTAAAGAAAATGGATGGTTGAACATAGTCCGCTCTCCCAGATTCTATCAAATCAGTATTGATACCCTCAGGGGCGGATTTAGGAAATTTGGGGCCCTAGGCAAAGACAGGCAGGGGGCCCCCTGAGAAGAAAACCCATAAAACAGACCCATTCTACAGATAGAGAAATGTTAATAGAATAGACATCCATTATTTGTTCTAGGTTTTGTCCCTCTCTTCTTGTCCCTTTTTCCTCTCTATTTATCAGCGTTCTGATGGCATTTTAGCCAAAGGATTTTTATCAAAAACATGTTTAATGTGCACAAATAAGGATTAGTTGTATTAACCATACATGGAAACAGAGTTTTATGGGGCCCCCAGAACTTGGGGCCCTGGGCAACTGCCTAGTATTGCCTAATGGTAAATCCCCCCCTGGATACCCCTGCTGGTGGATGTTCTTGACAGAAAGACGGAGTTGCTTAATCATATTCTGCTTAAGGTCCCATAAGATCTTGTCCGAGTCCTGGTTTAAAAGTAAATTAATTTTAAAAAGTGACCCAAAATTGACCATCAATAAATGTTCTACAAAATTGATATATTTATTTGATTTCTTTGATTTGTACTGTCTGTTTAGATTTATGTGATATTTTTTGCACAAAATATATAAGTGAATATTGTAACAGTTATGTTTTCAACTATAAGCATTAAATTGATAAATGTTATTCGCATTTTTTTGGCTTTATCCTTTCCAACAAAAAAAAAAAGGCGTCGCGCAGGTAGCTCCCTTTCCTTATGAGCCGTCCCCACCAACTTTCAACACAAAGTTACACGCTTGTCTTAGACAACACCTTAGCAGGTGCACTGAAAAAATTCGGCGCACGCTACGCGCGCGCATTATCTGCTGGGGGCTGAGCCACCCTTATCTCTTAAACCTAGAGACGCCCCTGCTGTGGATTAAATAATGAAAGTTCTGGGGAATTACTTTGTTTAGCTGTATGTTAAACTCAATTATTTTAAAACCTGCCACTATTTCCATGCTTTTACCACATCAACCAACATAAATCACTTTTAATACTTAATAAAATTTCTTTTGGATTTACAGATGCAATCTGAAAATGATTTAAGAGTCAAAATCCGAATGAACAGGTCAGACAAGAAAAACACAAGCAGGAAAATGCTGATTGGTTAATCTTGATGTAAAATCTGGTTGCTTGAATGGATTTCTATAGACTTCAAGAGCTTTACAAAGGAGCTAGTCCACTCTCTCTTTATAAAACCTAGAAAGCAGCAGATGGACTGATGCATGATCATAATCTGCTTAACCTACATTCTTCTTTTACCAGTTTTGTTTTAATTCAGAAAGTTTTAGAACTTAACGCTAAAGTGATGAAACACGCTGTTATCGACTATCTCCAGCTTGTGTAACATGTTAGCTGACAGCGCAAGAACATCTTGGAGTCTGGGACATCATTTACTTCTATCAGGAAATAACGTTTAGTCCTGATAAGAAAAAAAAATAATTAATCAGAATGTGTCTGAGCAGTCTGTGCTTGTCTATTTGGTAGACATACCTCAGCTGAAAATATTTATTTACATACACCAAGCTAACAGCTGAGCACTGATCATTATGAAACTGTTCTTTTTTTGGTGTTGAAGCATCACTCACAGCTGCTTACTCACCCAAAGAATTTAGGGAAAGGGGGAAGGGTTGCATAAAGTGGCTTTGCTGAGGAACAAGATATAGAACCAAGTTATTTTACTCTCCATTCACAATGATAAACATCTATAATGCACTTTGAAGTTATTTTAATTGTTTGTCAAAAGCCAATTACTGGAAAGAGCTTTGTTAAAAGTCGTCTAACACGATTATTCTTCCTCCTTTGAAACATATTTTCAATGTTAGAGCTGTAAAACCAGTTTCACCACTATCCCACGGTAGTCCTGTCACTTTGTTCCAAAGTTCCTCCTCACTGCTACTGTGGGGGAAAGAAAAGAAAATATTTAAGTATTTTTTTAAATTTAACCAAATCCCTTCTTCTATTTGACCATAGCTGTAAAATATCAACAATTCACCCGTTTTTAGATTTGAGGGGTCAGAGTAATTGATTAAGAGGTCCCTCCCCACACTTTATTTGATATAGGAAATGTATTGGAGGGTTTGGCCTCCGACCTCTCGTACATTTCAACGCCTCCTTTGCATTCTGTGTGTGTCCTTGTGTAAGAGAGGGAGGGGAAACGGCTCTTAGGGGTTTGTTTATTGGCTGGTCTTTTTCACGTTTCTTTAGCTTTGGGGGGAGTGTCTTGGTTTGACGTCAGCCAGCTACGGAGTGTCACACCACTCTCAACACAAAGTGGCTTCCTTTGAATTACTACAACGCAGCTGTAGGTTCTTCTATCAGGACATGACGGAGAAGAAGAGGAACAGTTGGGTCATCACTTTGGTGGCTTAAATTCTTTAGTCTTGTAGTTAAAATTCTTTTTTGGTCAAATAAAGGAGTAAAGCTCAGATAGTTATTGAGAGAGTTTGTTTTTTTATTTAACAGTCTGAGAACAGGAAATGCCTACTGTTAGTAGGTATATGAGTTTCCGTTCATCAAAGCGATTGAAAGTTAGCAGGTAAGCTCCCTTTGTTCAAATTAGTTTATATTTTTTGGTGGACTTTAAATTTAAGTTTCTCATAAAGCTTTTATTTTAGTTCTAAGTTAACCCCGATGTTTTCTAAAGTTTCACTTGCATCCCTGCTTAAAGCCATTTTCATGGAATCAGACATATTATTCAGCCGTGTTCGTTCTGTATATGTGCCTGGTCTGTTCCCGGTCAAGGACACGCCATGGCCTTAAAAATGTATTGACTTTTCTATATCCGCCAGAATTGCTCTAATAGCTCTTTTTTTCCCTACCTTATATTTTTTATCTGACACAAAGCAGCTTGGAAAGCTGCCAGTAGAGCCGTTTGAGCGCTTACGCAATGTGTCCATAAAATGCTTCGGAAAGAGGATGACTATTTCCATCGCATCATAAAGATAATTATGTTGTCTGTCAAACATCAGTTGTCTCTGTTTCAAAATGAGTTGGATGATTTTTTTTACAAACTTTGTTGAACGACTTTGTAGCAAAATAAGATCAGGGAGTTTAGAAAATATTGTTAAAAAGGCAACGGGTGGTGTTTTTTATTCAGATATTAGCAAGCTTCATCAACTCATGCTCCAACTTGACTTCTACATCTCAGGGTGGAAGAACAGGAGGTTGTCATGCTGGGACATGCCTGACTTAACATTAACTCACCTGGAGAGAACTCTTTTTATTTCTGTTGGATCATATAGAACATGTAATAATCTCTGTTTTTATTTACCTCTGATATCCAGCAGCTACCCAGTGGAGAGCGGCGGGCTGCCTGCAAAAACCAAGAAAAGCAGGAGCAGTCAGAGCAACTCCGCCGTCAAGAAGACAGAGGCGAGGAAAGCCTTGAGTTTGGAGGCTGCTCAGCTTGAGCTGCAGCAGCAGCACAAGACCCTCACCAGACAGATAGCTCTCAGGTAGGACTCGTCCAGAAACTTTACGTACTTTATTGGAAAAACTCATTCACGCACATTTATTTGTACAGGAAGAAATGCGCTTTCAAAGTTTAGAATGTTTAATTGCTTCTTTTAGACTTCAATATAATTGTAAAACTCAAGATCCTTTTTGACAGCCGATATTATATTTCAAATTTCTAGCTTAAGAAGTTTGGATTGGCAGTTGCTGTAGATATTTTCTGCCATTTGCTGCATGCATCACAAGACATGAGCTGACTCTCAGCTACTGTTCAGTCATGACGCAGACATAAGTGCACAGCCGTTTAAAGGAGTCTGTCTGCTCACATGATTCACATGTCTGAAATAGATTCAGGGTATGATTTGGATGTAAAGATGACGTCAAAGTGGAGGCAATTGTTGAGCCTGTGGCCCTTTGGTGAAAAGTAAAACTTTGCTTCTTTGCTGTAAAAATATTTTTAGTTTATTTTTAATAACTATTACAACAAGCTTTTCTTATGAAGCTAAATTAAATCCTGTCAAACGCGTCTGCTTGCCTTTCTTGGTTACAGCTCTACAAAACTACAAGCATGGCAGGAAAACTTTTAGTAGAACTGTTATGGTATTTACACAAAGATTTTTATAATATCAAAACTGTAAAACATGATCTGGACGCAAGTATCTGTGCTTGACAAGTAGATTAATAGCTCTTAGTCTTGTTTTGCCATCAGCAAAACCGACCGGCTGCTCATGGTTTGCCTGCTGTACTTTTAAACAAGGAAGCCTTAATGAGAATGAATTTTGCACTACTTTGCTACCCACCATGACCTGAAAAATAGTTTTTTTTCTCTGTCTCAACATTTTACTGCAAAATCACCTCTAAGTGTTTTTTTTTTCTCTTCCCGCCTCTCCAGGTCAGAAACATTTGATGTTGACAGCAAAGGCTTTGAGAGAACAGAGAGCAGCGGCACACAAAGTGTAAGTCAGCACAGACCTGCTCCCTGAAAGAATAATTTATTTATAGGCTTCAGGAAAACATTTTATTGTTTTATTTTTCTCATTTTCAGAGTTTCACCAAGCACAATAAGACATTCCACAAGTTGTTCCCGGACATTCCTGACAATGAAGACTTGATACATGGTAAGTAAAGGGAAAATGGTGAAAAGCAGCATTAAATGAAACCTGGTGGACTGTAAAACTAAAAAGCTCTTCATTACATTTTCCCCAGCGTACATATGTGCCCTGCAGAGGGAAGTGCCCTATCATGGTCGGCTTTACATCACCGACACCAACGCCTGTTTCTATTCCTCAGTTCTGCTAAAGGACACCAGGGTAGGCGTCTATCTAACCCGTCATTCTGGTACAATCCATGTTTGATTTGACTGACGTCTTAACTGTTGTTTTTTTTTTTTACTTTGCAGGTTGTCATTCCAGTTTCCTCTATCCACACAGTGAAGAAACAGAACACAGCTCTGCTGGTGCCTAATGCCCTGTCCCTTCGCACCACAGAAGGAGAGAAGGTCAGTCTAACATCTAAAGCGCTTCCATTAGCAACATTCATGGAGGAAATTGAGTCTCTATCGTGCTCTGATCAAATAAGGTGTTGTCTAGCAACATTAACCTTGCTTTAGAAGTCAAGTCAACAGGGTGTGTTTCAATATTTGAGTTTACCACCAAGCCAACAGCCAATAATCCGTCGCTCTTTTGTGTTTTTCTTATTGTTTAGTACCTCTTTGTGTCGCTGAGGAACAGAGAATCCTGTTACCAGCTGCTTCGCTCCGTCTGTCCTCAGATAGAGGTGAGTGGTTCTGGTCAAACTTCAAAATGGATCAAAGAACCAAGAACTGCTTCCGTTTAAAACATGAAACAGCTGTTGGGTAGATTTTGAAAGACAAATGACATTACCGTCAAATTGTGCAAAAAGGGAAAAAAAACTTAACTATTGTGAAAATGTTGCAATGATTTGGACTTTTTCATGTACAAAGTTTAAATGACAGGAAAGGGTTTTCTAAAAGTGAGGTGTTATAAATTACAACAGTGTCTTTTTTGCTGTTAAAATAAAAAAAAAAACACTCAAAGTATACAGAAGAAGGGGGGAAATAATATTATGTCCTTTCTTGGTTTTCTCTTACAGGAGGGGAGCACAAACAGCAGCCCTATTTTCTCCTCAGGTGAAAACAGCTTTGATAAAAGCAAACTAGTGGTGAGAAAACTTAAACCTGCTTTTTTAAATATGAGAAATGTTTTGCATGTACATTTCCTTATATTATTACATTTAAATTGAGAACTCTAGGCTGAGAATTCTTGTTTCTAAAGATGGGATTCTTTCCCTGTGCAGAACTCCAGCCAGTCCAGTTTGGATGACAGCTTGGACGGTTCTGAAACTTCATCTTTGCAGAATCCGCCTCGGCAGAGGGCTCACAGAGGTAGGAATGTTTATTCAACGAAGATCACAACAGTATGGAGAATTAAATGCATTCAAATCTTCTGTTTATTTAAAAAAAGACATCCAAATTTCGAAGTCTATTAGTCCATTAACATTTATTCTTTCTCTTATCTCCCTTTCCAGTAGAAGCAGTGCCTAATGGAAACGCTTCAGGTTCCAGCAGTCTGCAGCAAAGTGACAGCTCGTCTTCAGAGGAGCTCTCAGAGTCAGGTAATGTTCACATACACAAGCGGTCATGAATTTGCACAAAAACAAACTGTGCAAAGCTTGGGTAAAATCTTACCTGGAAAAGTGAATGGGCCGTAATATTTCTGCTGTTTACTCTCCCTGTAGGTGGATGGTGGATATCTAACGTGACTGAAAAAGCCAAGTCTCTGCTGGTTCAGAGAGAGTTCACCTCACTCAACACTCTTCTTTTTATTTACTTGATTTTGTAAGTGGCACCTTCCTTCTAGTATTTTGTCTCCCTCCTTCCTAACTCCTTTAATACCAGTCTTCATCTCCCTGTTTGCTAATCTCTGTCTGCTGGCGCTGAAGTCAGTGCAAAAGGGAAAGCATGAGGCTTTTCATGAACTTGTAAAGCAGATCGCGCATGATAAAAAAAAAAAAGCAGACAATTCTGTCAAATTCTGTTATACATGTCAAAGCCATATAATCTCTGTGATCGCATAGGTCGGTACTTTTTCCCTGAAAAGAATTTGTTTTTTTTTTATGCTAGTTTGGTGTCGTGTAGCAGCTGGAACAAAGGCTGTAAACAGTGGTCTGATTCCTGCATGTCTGTGTTGCAGGGTGGTACTGCTGCTGCTGTCTTCAGGTTACATCGGTCTCCGTATCGTGGCCCTTGAGGAACAGCTTACATCCCTGGGTGCGCTGCCAGAGTTCAGCTTACAGAGCGGGTAGGATGTCTTTTTAGTTAAATCTGAGAGGTTATTTAGATCCAGATTAATGGTAATGAAACAGAAATGTAACAACCAAAAGTTCTAATAGGTACTTTGATATTTCATGTAGCAGTGCCACCTAGTGGACAGTTCTGGTTGGCTTTTGTTTTTTGGTGGTGCAGATTCTCAGTCATCCAGGTCATAGTCATTCTAAAAAAAGTAAAAAAACAAACAAACAATAGAGTTTGTTTCCAAGTTTGGAGATGTTTCGCTTTGCATCCAGGAACCTCAAACTCAACGCTTTTTCTGACATTTTGAATTAAAAAAGCTTCCTGGATGCGAAGCAAAATATCTTTAAACTTGGAAACAAATTCCAGTGGATTGTTTTGTAACTTTTGGTTTGTCTTTTGGTATTTTTTTTTGTTTGTTTTTTTAAATTTCTTTTTTAATTAATAGAAACTCTACTTGGGTTCTTATCAATGTCCTCATCGTTAGTCTCTAGACCTCATATATTCATGTTGCACAAAACTGTAAATGTAAGTTGGGATTAAACAAGCAGGCTGTAGAAAGAAGGTAGAAAATATATCATAAAGTTCTGACAAAGAAACAAGTTTTGTTTCACTATCATTCTGTCTAATTTAAATGTTTTGTTGAAAACTGTCATTTATATACAATGATCAAATGTTTCTTTCTCTTGATAGGTATAACAAAAACACATAACCCTCAGCGAAGGGAGGAGAGATGTGCGGACCTGTGATTGGAAGATCATTCCTACTCTTCACAGCTGGAAGGCAACCATTATTGTGCTCTGAAAATGGCCTGCACTGTTATGAGGAGAAAGAGTAGCAACCCTGTGCTAACCTTGGAGAGATCTGATTTCTTGGAGTACAGTAAATAATCTGATATGTTGCAGCTTTGAAACCCCAGAGCCAAGCCAAAAAAAAAAAAAAACTCATGTTGCCTGGTTGCAGTGTGCCAGTTGTTCAAACCAAAGCCAAAACGGCTCCAACTCAGTGAAGTGCCACACTAGCCAAGTCAACTGGCACTTTGCTACCAGAACTTTCTCACCATCTGTGAACTGATGTCGCTCATTGTCCTGTTCTAAAGCATGCAATCTGAATAGGGCTATACTGATCAGCATTAGCCTGCTGTAGTGCTTATTACTGCACGTCAACACTGGAGACGTAGTTCTATGCATAGCCAAAGATGCACAAAGTGCACATCTTATGCATGAGTGCACAGAGAGATTTTTTTTCCATCTCTTTAAGCTTTCATCTCGAAGCTGACCATTCAGTCCTGTCTTCGTCTCTACATTCAGCAAGTTTGGGGTACCTTAAAGCGCTCTTTAGTGGCTGTGAGTTGAAATGTTGATTTATAAAATCTCAGCCCAACAAGGCTTCATTTCTTGATGGCCCTATCCTTTCTCTCTGATTCAAATCTAACTTTCCTGTTGTTTGGCATGATTTAAAGATGTTTAATGATCAATGCTCAGATGTTATTTTCCTTTAAGACTCTACTGGATCAACGCACAAATACTGAGCACAACAGGACAAGTGAAAGTTGTCCCAAAGGCATAGATTTTGGTCTAAAAGTAGAGTCAAGTCTGTCTGCTTCAGGTGTCTGTTTGTTGTAGCGTCTTCTTGCAAAAATAGCATTTTGTTGTTGAGCGACATGCTTGTTCAGGACCAATTACCAATAATGTATTTTTTAATGTTTGTGTCTGCAGTTATCGACACTGTACTGATTGTGTAGATGCGTCAGCGGGAGGATTAATGAATAGTGCTTAAAGGTCCAGGTTTTCAAATGCAAAAAAAGTGGTCCCTAAAAGAAATTTCACTCTGCAAAAAGAAACTAATATGCATGGAAAAATGTAACTTATGTTGTGCAGTTTTTAAATGAACCTTTTGTTTGTGGGGAAGAGGCAATCCAACAAAATAAACTTGAGCGAGAGTAACAGCTCAACTATTAAGCAAGCGCACTTTAATAAAAAAATAAAAAAAAATCAAACCATGCATTGTGCCTGTCACAACCCCAAACACTTTGGTTTGACTGAAGAGATGGCGTAGCAGATTCTGTGGTGTTTGATGGTGCTAAGCCCTTATTTTTAAAAGTTGATTTAACTCAGGGTTGGCGGGCTACTTCCTGCCAAGGTTTCAGTTGCTACACTTTGTCATTTCACCATGTTGTGCTCATGATGGGTTTCTAAGTTTTCACCTGTTTAGTTATTCCTTTAGAGTCCATGCAGGGACCTTAATTTCACTTGATTTTAACTGATAAATCTACTTTTATCTCAGAATGCTTGATTTCTTTTCCCTTTCCTTTCACCATTTTTAACTTAACCAGTTATACCAATACTACATTTTATAACATGAGCATTATTTTAGACGCTCTGTCTGAGAAGTAGCAAGTGTGTCAACTTTTGCTCTATCTTCAACAATGCGAGTCCTTTTCATAATGTTTAGCATACTTTGTTCTGCCATGCCATTTACAGTACTGTCGGTTATTGTATTCCCCACCAGGGGGCAGCACATGCAACCGTTGTCCCCAAAAGATCCATTTCAAGACTCTGAAGGGCAATTTTGTGTGATCTTTTTTTTTTTTGCACTATTCAGAGCATTGTAAATAGTTTTGTACCAAATGTTAATACTTTAATTATACGTTGGCTCTCGCTGTATAAATATATTTATTTGCATTGTGTAATTTAAAGTAGTCTCCGTGAGATTGCTTTCTACTGTTAAAAATAAAAAAAATTTGAAATTAAAATTTGGTGTGTTTGCCTTTATTATTGAATTAGTTTTAACATTGTTCCTAAACTTCAGGGATAGAAAGAATGAAAAGAATTGGAAACCACTTCCTCAACCGTGGTAAAAATTCTAAGTCAGTTCTGATCTAGAGCAGAATAATAAACTGACGCAAACAAAACAGATTTGTAACGTGGAAATAAAATCAATTATTGCCTATATTTTAGTTTTCACTATGATGTGAGTGTAATTTATCTATTTTTAATAGATTTTTAACTATCTCAAAGACGTTATGTTAAGAACTTGGATGAAAAGGATTAATAACCCTAGAAATAAGGCTTAAAATAATTAAATCAGAATAAAGTGCATACTTTTCAGAAGACTGTTAACTGAGCCCCTCTAACATCACCTTCCATTGAAACTGTTTAGGACATCTATCCAGTCTTCAAATATTTTGCAGCCTCTACTATTTTTATTTTTTGTTTTGGAGGGGGCGTTATCTAGTATTTTTAATATGTCCATCTTTCCATCAGCTTTGACCAGACTCTCCTTGCTTCACCACATGACACCTATGGCAGATCATACTTTTCCTGGTGCCTTTGGTTTCTGTTCATTTAGTTTTTAACACCACAGACTAACTCCTTTTGCAGAAAGAAACTAATGATCAATGCTGCATTTATATCTGGAAAAATACACTGCAAAAACAATCTAGAAATAAGTAAAAATTCCTTAAATCAAGTGTATTTTACCTTAATTTTAGCAGGTAAATGGGATGATTTGCCAAGGGAATGAGTATTTTTACTCTTAAAATAAAATAATTAGATAAAATGCACGTGAAATAAGACAATGCAGTTGCTTTTTCTTATTTTAAATGTAAATTGTCTTGTTCCATTGGCAAAGTGTCTCACCTCCTCAATTCAAAAACAAATGTACTTAGTTTAGGAACAAATTACTTATTTAGATTTCAATTTTTTGCAGTGTAGTCAGATTTCTTGCATGTTGAGCTTCTTTATGCATTTCAACAATGTATAGTTGCAGTGAACAGACAACAGTTTTTTTCATCTTTTTATTGCACTCCTAGGAAGCGAAAGCAGCAATGATCTTCATTCCAACAGTCTGGAGGACCATCTGTGTGCTTTTCCTGTTCAGCTCTCCGGGTTATTTGGAGGAGGGAGCGCAGCAGAGGTCTGCCGATAGGCACAGAGCTGAAACACACCTACAAGACATGGAGATATGCTTACAAAAAAGAAAAAAATGGTATCCATCATTAAGCTTATTAAATAAGGTTAGGTATCTTGATGACTCGTTTTTTCTGTTTACTCATTGCAAATGTGTACATCAGATACTTTGATCCTTAAAAATAAGTCTTTTTTTTTGTTAGACAGAAATCCATATGTCTGTTGGGTTTTTCCAAAACTAGGATTTTTAGGAATATGAGGTAAAGCAGTTCTGCACAAGGAAGCACAAATTCAAAATAAAGAAATACCCATAATAGCACACATTATTGAGTCAAAAACTATATAAAGAACAAAAACCTGCTGCAAAAGCCAAAATGGCAGCCACCCAGCCTATGATGTAGGACCAGGAAAAACGCCAGTCCAGAAAGCGTTTCCCAAAGAAAGTGACGGTCACTCCTGTGTAAACAGCCAAAGCCAGCAGAGCAAGAAAACCTTGAACAAGGGACAACAAATACATTAGTTTAGAGAAAGCATAAGGAGTGAGGAAACTTCCTATCTTCTTATTGATATTTCAGTTGCTTTAATTTATTTCAAGGATTTGATTTTTAAATTGCATTCAAATGTTCTTGTCTTTTTACTTTGTTCATGGCACATGTGAAAAAAAAAAATGGTTCTAAGCTGCCTTTCTCTTTGTTTTTGCAGTAATGACTTTTGCAGCCGTTAAGGTCAGATTGGTACCTGAGAGAACGAGAGCGATGCCTCCTGTCCGGACCCTTCTGTTCTTGGTTCCATTGGTGAAGGCGCTAAGGCCCAGCACAATGCCAGCAAAACAGCTCAGCACTGCCAGAAGCATGAAAGCCCTGGTAGCATCCCAGAAGGCTGAAAAAAACAAAAATCACACTGAATAAAAAATAAATAAAAAAATGTTCTAGCCTAAGAAATAAAGTTATCCCCTTTTATTTATAGCTTCTGTAAAAATCTTGACCTGAAACCAGTTTAAATCAAACCTCTGGGAAGCTTATTTAAGGTACATACCTACAGTCATTGTGTGAGCATGGCATTTGTGGTTGATGCAGAACCTCCAAAGCCCTTGATTGGCTGAGCTACCTGAATAGCGGTAGTGCATCCAGAAATCTGTTGCCGTAGAAACGATGAGAAGCACCAGGGCGGCCACGCCGCACAGGGTGCCACCTCCAGCTAAAGTATACAGCATTGTTGATACTCCTTGAAGCTCAGGGTCACCCTAAATATCCAGGAGCTGCTTGGATCAGAGAGGACAGAGAAGAAAGAAGACAATCAATGATGTTTGCTTTTACGATTCTTTTTCTGTCAGGCATCTATTAATGTCTGTTTGCTGGGTCTTGTCTGTTGATCAACTTCCCCTAGCTACAGTAGGTTTCATTAAGTTCTATTTTACAAGCATGTAGATATTTACATGCTTTACAGGAATATTAAAAAGAGTACACGTTTATTGATTAAATTAAAGCACTAGATTTTTCCCATGCATTTCAAAGCAAACCCACTTGATGTACAAACCAAAGTCATTCCTCTCAGCATGGTGTTTTTTGACAATAGGCCTGCCTGTCAGGCAGTTCAGGCCCATTGTTCTCTAATTCCCCTCTGTGCACAACAAACTAAATTTCCAGTTCAGAACAACTGAACTGTCAGCTCCGCAACAAATCCAGAAAAAAATAAACATATTTTTACACCCCCTCCATATTACAGCACAGCTTTAAAGTAATCAAAATACTTCGATCATGCCTACAGTGGGCATGTGCACCTGAATGAATCATTCTAATTAATTCTACAAAATAAAAAAACATTAAACACCAACCATTCTGTCTTTGTAGTCCTTCATCTCCACTCATTTAGCTCTTTAAGCATCTAAATCGATCAACATTCTACTAGATGTATCAGAATTACAGTCTGTGTGTGATTCCAGGTTTTACCTTCAGTTTGGCCAGTCTCGCTCCAGAGTTGCTGGCTGTTAAACAGTATGCCTATCCTTTTTAAGCCCCACACCTCAGGCCCTCATTGTCCACCACACAAAAGAAGCGAATGATCGAGCGCAGCATGTGAGTTAGAGTAAATCCCTCTGTGGCCCTCCTCTTTACCTTGTAACCTTCATCACTACATCATCCTGCTGTCCCTGCTCTGTCATGCTTGATCCTTCTATTGCAGGATTCGTCTTGCAACGACGATAAAGAGCCAAACCTTTTTAGGATCATACATTCAAAACCAGCAGCATTGAAGTGAGATACAATTAAACTATTAGGCACCAACACCGGTACTTCCAGCGGTTGAGAAAATTAAGCACAAGAAGAGAAACGCATGCACTCTGGTACAGAAAATATACATAATGCAAAATGTTTGAGACAGCATGTTTATTCTCATCAAACTTACGTCGTTCCCATTATTTGTGACATCATCCTACATATGGCTCTTAAAAAAAACCTCCTAAATCATGCACATCTGGTAATGCATTTCCTCCCACTGTGTGGATGCTGCTGTTTCTCATCTAGAAAGTTAATTGAAAAGTACTTCATGCTGCACAGATTAAACATCCTTATACTGTATTGGAACTGCAAAGTGCTGCATTTATGGAAACTTGACTTAAAATATTTTTGTTTTTTTCTGCATCCTACTCCTGAGAATTCTCTTTCGAGGAATATTGTTTTCTAATCTGAGGAGAGTTCCAATGGTGGATTGAAAGACTTTTGTTTTAGTAAGGCAGAAATGACATTTTTTACATAAATGAAACAAACATAATAGAATAAGTCACGTTGTGTATCTGTGGCATGTAAGCTTCTTCAATGGAGTAATATTTCTGAGCAATCTGAAGCAGCTGGACTCTTTAATGCTCAAACCCAAAGTAGTAAAGCATTTGGAGCCATGCCATCACTGCTCTTTCTAAACACAAACCTGAAAACAAGAGACTGGGTCACAAACAGCATAGACAACAGTTGTGCTATATATTTCAATTATTTTTATATTTTGGAGTGGAACGTTTTTTTTTTTTACAATGAAATTTAAATATACTCTATTACCAAACACTATTTTGATTTGTTTTCTAAAGATAATTGTAAAACTAATCATTTGATATTTCTTGATGCAGGAAGAATATGTTTGGTTATGCTTTCCTAATTATACTACTTATTTATTTTTGTGTGAGCAAAACAAAACAATATCATAACAGAGAAGCTGTTATGTTTTAAAAAAGCAAACTCACTTAACGTTAGCATGATGATTTCACTCCTCCTGGTTGTGGTGGCAGTATTATGATATGGGCTTGTTGCATCAAATGCAGGTAGGCTTATCACACTAGAAAAAAAAACCCATCTATAAATAAATAAAAACATCCTAAATTAAGTGTCTTTACCCTTAATTTGAGTTGGTAAATTAGATAGTTTGCCAATGGAATGAGTATTTTACTTTTTTTTTTTTAAATAAGATAATTAAATAATGTGCACCTGAAATAAGACAATGTAATTGTAATTTCTTATTTTAAATGTAAATGATCATGTTCTATTGGCAAAATGTCTCTTTTATCTCCTCAATCCAAGAACAAATGCACTTATTTTAAGAAAAAATAACTTATTTAGATTTAAATTTTTTTCCAGTGCCTCACCAACAGAAGTAAAACGCTTTAAAATACAAATTAAAATCTATAATTGGGAGAAAAAAAAGTTGATGCCTTAATTTGTTTCCAAAAAAAATTGTTTTTCAACAATTCTATTTTATTTTTGTTAGTAGATGTATAAACAACTAAAATGTGCTTATCTCTTGTTTTTTTGTTTGTTTTTCTTTCCAAACATAACACCAGTTTTTACACATCCTGTGGGATGGACTCAAAATATTTACTTTAGTGACTTTGCTGTATGATTGAAACTCAATGAAAAACTTTGGCCTGACACACATTTACTAAACACTTTACTGATAACTGAAGAAAAATAAACAAAGGATAAGTCAAAGTTTCAGTTTTCATGTTCAAATTAATAAAAAAAACTTTCATATTATCTTTGTAATAGTTTATTCACATGCATGTGTGCATACAGATAAAATGCTGCTGCTGTTTTTGCACTAATGACCTTTTTTAAATATTTCTTTTGAATTTAAAATAAAGCAATTTATAAAAAAGGCACATTATGAAATGCATAAAACTTAATGTGTCATCTTTCCACAATGATGAGTCCAGTCACCTGTTCCCATGGAAACCATTGTCTTGCTGTGCCTTGATGAGCTCGGGATAAGTGTGCAATGTTGCAACAAAAAGGTAAAGTCTTTATATATTTTCTTCCTTTTTTTATCACATTCTGACAGAATATTGATCAAATATTTCTGTGCATCAATAGAGAATAAATAAAAAACTGAAATGTGCTTGAAGTGAACTCTGTTTTGTTTTGTTTACTTTAATCCAACCTTTTTATATCAGTACAACAATGTAACAAGCAAACACAGAAGGTATTTTAGGGGCCTTAGGAGTCACGTTAAACCTAAATAACAAGTTCAAATATACTTCTGTGTTGTTTTTTTGTTTTTTTTGATCATCAAAAAAACTTTTAGGTCCACCTTTAGTAACAGTTGACGTTTAAACTCAATTACACAGACTTTAGAGTGCCCAACAAGGAATACTTGCACAGATGCACATACAGATAGCATTCAGTCTATGCTGCCTTCAGAATGCATCAACTCCTCACACTATCACTACAGTATAGGTTGTTCTACAGCATCACATTAAACAGCCTAGACCGGGTGTATGTGGACACTGTGTGTTTGTGAAGACTACAGCTCTGTCCTTGGTGATGGCTCATTTCTTGAGATCATCAGGAGCTCCGAGCCCAGAGGACGACAGTTCGATCGGCTGATGAGGACAGGAACGTTCGGTCGTGTGGGTGCCACCTGCACTGAATCACCTTATCCCAGTGTTCCCCGGCCAGCGTCTGAGGCAGCGGCTTGGTCAGGTCACCTGGAGTCAGAAGGTCAGGGTTAGCTGCACATGCTCTGCTGCATTTATTTCTTTCTTTCTCGGCCAATGGAAGGCATCGGTACCTTGAAGGTCGCTGATGATGATTTTGTTGTCGTAGGAACCGGTGAGGAGATGATGGGCTCCAGGCGAGAAGCGCACAGAGCGAATGTCGCTGCTGTGGGGGCGGAAGGTCTGAACTATGCGTCCGCCTCGGATGTCGTACAACATGCAGGTGCTGTCCTCCTGACCGGTGGCCAGCAGGCGGCCGCTTGGGTCCACCGCCACCGAAGCTACAGCACTCCCTGAGAGATAAGGAAAGAACAAATCCTCAGTCTGACATGATTTTTATTTTTATTTTTCTCTTGCAGCTTTAGGTGACAAAAACAAACTTCCAGTGCATAAATGAAAAATAACGGTTATGTAATTACATGGAAATGATATGATTACTATATAAAAGGGCTGCAAAGCTTTAATATGGAGCAAGAGCTAAAAAAATAGCTGTATCTCATGCCGTTTAATTTGACAGGACATGGATAGGTTAACCTTTTTATACAACTCCAGCCTGACGTTCTACAGTACTTGTAAATTACAGCTGATCTCAGAAGGAAAAGTAAAAATATCTGTGTCAACAATATTTGACTCACCTGATCCATGTAGAGTCGTTCCAACCACCCGAACACAGCTGGGCACACGGAGGTCCCAGAACCGGACCGTTTTATCCTGGGAGCCCGAGGCTATCATCCAACCTCCCCATGTGTACACAGTCAGAACGTGCCCTATAAGGGTGAAATAGGATGGAAGCTTTTTGAATTGAAAGCAGTGTTTCTTCCATACTGGGTATCGGGGGGAAAAAAACAACGACCTACCTGTGTGTCCACTCAGTGCATGAAGGCCTTGCCCTCTCTGACAATCTGTTGTGTATATGTTACAGTCTCCAGCACCGGCACTGATCAAGATGGACCCCCCGCTCTCAGGACCCTCCATGAAAGCCAGGTCTCGTATGGTACCATCATGCATGCTAAACTCCAGGTCTGGACCTGAGTCAGATGGAAACATTCGATTCTAAGCATCTAACATTTAGGAGAGAGATTATGTGTGACAATGCTGATGTAGACAATACTTTCAGTTACTTTCACTTAATTTAACCTAATGTCATCAACTCTTAGCTTAAAGCTGCAGTCTGTAACATTGAGGAGAGAGCACTGAAAATTTGAAGAAAAACAGGTTTCACGCCACTCCCCCACCCTCTCTGCTTCACTCATGCCCCACCTCCAAGCTCCACCCCTCTCACAGCATCCTCGCGGCTACCGCATGCGACCAGAAAGGGGGTGGGGGGGGGGTGGGGGGATTCAGCGTGTGTGAGCTGTGATTGACACTCCATCAGACGCTCCTCTGGCTGTGATTGGTTTTTTTGACTCGTCCCGAATTATTCTTTCCAGATTGAAATACAGGCAGTAGGCGGTACCAATTGAAGCAGTTTTTTTCACAGGTTACATATCACATGTACTGCTGTCTGGGCATAGGGACAGTTTTAGCCAATATGACAAAAAAGTGATTTTTAAAAACTTACAGACTTCAGCTTTAAAGCTTCTAAAGGCCCAAAAGTTCAGTTTCTCTGAAAATTAGAACATGTGATGTATTTACCGGGTTTTAACACCATTTGTAGGAGAGAAAGAAAAAGCATTCGACTTGTGAGGCAGATGGGAAGATTGTTGAAGATGTGTTTGTGATTAAAGACGGCTGATAATAAACTTATGTTCCCATCTGGTGCACAAGAAAAGACCGGCGTTGAATACTTTTTCTTTTAGCATCAGACATCGAGCTGCTTGGATGGTCTCTGCCTCCATTCTTCCTACAAATCTTGGAGCTCTAACTTCCCAATAAAAATATAAAATGTAGCTTTATGTTTAAAATGTATTTTTTAAATAACTATACATCATTATTTCTTATGATAAACCATTTGCTTCTCCTATTTGCTGCTATGTTATCACAAAAGAGGACTTTAGACTATTATGTAAAATGAATTAGCACACATAAGCCACCGCTCACATTGTTATTCATAAGTGATTTAACAGAAGGGATGAAACAGCTTAACTTAACTCCATGTTATTTTTCCAGGTTTTTCTTTTTCTACCACACTTTCTCCTTCCACACAACTTACTGTTAACTCTTAGAGCTGGCTTTTTAATCAGTAAGCAGAAAGAAACATCTAATATACAGTATATCTCCGATAATAGATGCAAAAACACACAGATGAAGAAAGAGAACAGGAATACTAAAACTGGTATACTGTACCTGTAGCATTGCAGCTGTCTGCGTTAAAAGGCAAAACCTTCACATATTTATCATTGGAACCGGTGGCCAGCAGCTGTCCACAGTGGCTCCAAGCCACGCAGTAGATTGAGCCTTTATGATGTTTGTTTCGTCTGAAACGCACCGAGGGCTGTTTGGCAACACCTGAACCACTAAAACAATCAGAGAGACGAGTGACCTGAGCTCCAGCTTTACACGTTAAGAAGAAAAAATGAAATTGTACATTTGAAACAGACTTAATCAAAATGCTTCTGCAAACTCTCAGTCATCTTAGGTCATGGCTACCATAAATTAATATGATTAGACCTATTATAATAAACTGTGCAGCATAATCACTGTTGGTAGTCATGGAACATTTTTATCAGGATCTAAAGCAGGTTTAACATATCATCTCTCATCCTCCTATTTGGGTATCCTTCTGTATGCTATAAATCCTGAAATAACAGATGGCTGATGTTGGCTTTCGATGCAGTATTTGGCTAAAGGGTCTTTCATCTAGTTGGCTTAACAAAAAGGGACAATTTCATTTTTAAATCTATAAAAAAAAAACGCGGATTTGCCCAATTTGGGCTGCAGTGTTCTAACATTTCTAATGTCTTTGTTCTTAATGAGGAGTTTTAGTGTTTTGTTAAACTCCTGAAGCAGACCCAGTTTTAAAAGCACAAACAGATAAATCTCTGATTCTAGGTGCCTTTGTATATTTCTAAATATGATTCTATTTTTGCGTTCTTTCAATCAGTATCTTTAGAACTTTCTCTGCGTTGTATAAAATATTTTTATTATTTCATTTTTATTATTTCCTTATATTTTCCACTTAGATTTTTTTTTAAACATGGATTCATCTTTGAGCATATATTTAGGGTAAAAAATAGGAAGACAAATTAAGCAGAAGGACTATTTCATGATTTCTTTTTCCCATGGACTCATAGAAGCCTGTGAAATCCAGCAAATCAAGATTACTAAAAAGTTAAAGGGAGTTGCTGTTCTTCGAGGGAAATGTTGTAAAGGAAATATTAATCAGAATCAGAAGCAGTTTGTTATTTAGAAATTCCGATTTTCTTTCAGATAAAACAGTAAAAATAAAAGATGGAAACATTTTTTTGCAGAGATCACTTTTTTCTTTCATTTCATACATACCTAAAACCTGGAAAATTGCACAAGCTAAGTTTCTTATTTTCCAGATTTCTTAAGACAGCCTAGATTGGCACACTGTGTTTGTTATACTATAAGCACATATATAATTAATATCCTTGTTGACTATCTATCCTAAGGCAACTGGAAACCACCTGCTGGTCAGTGTTTCTGGATAGGCACAGACTCTCAGGGTTTTGGAGTTAGAGCCGACCGCATAGAGAGCTCCTGATGGATGAAAGGCCACGGCTCGCACCGCCTGGGTGTCCTCTAGCTGACTCACTCTTACAAAGTGGCTTTTTGACTTCACATTCTGCAACAAGTTTTAGAAAAACAAGCAACTCTGTATGAGTTACAAGAATAATTGAAATGTCTTTAGTGTTCAAGCCATGCTTGTGAGCAGAAGTTTTTTTGTTAGACTTATTGGACATCTGTGTTACCTCATGTGTGTTTCTAATGGTGGAGCTCCCAGGATCATCTTGGACTGATGCAGGAGAAGCTCTGATTCTTTCAGCACTGGAAATATACGAATTCATTAAAATAATGACCAACCGTGGCAAAGATTTTGACTCAATACTCAATACAGATTTAAATTAGATGAAGAGAAGAAAGAAAGAAAAAAAGGGACAAAGCAGAAAAGGGGAGAGGGAGGAAAAGAAGTATGTTTGGGTACAAACTTTGGATAAAAACCAGTTTATTTTTTATTGTTTTGCTCTTACATATCTAGAGTTTGAAAGTCCTTGAATTAAATTCTATATTTTCCAGACTCTAAGAACCCTGTGGATAATGGTAAATGGCCTGTGCTTTTTCAAGTCAGAAGACTTGATCAAAGCGCTTTACACTACATTCAGTCATTCACCCATTCACACACACACACACACACACACACACACACACACACACACACACACACACACACACACACACACACACACACACACACACACACACTCAGCGTGTGTCCAATAATGTCCATCACTTTACAATAAATAAAAAAGCTAAATGAAGCATAACTCCAAACAATGACCTTAACCTCTTAACATCCACCTCATTTTGGGTAATCCTCTCCTATTTTGCATACCCAAATGAAAAAGCAAATAACTTAGGAACTGTGAGCTCAAGTTACATGTGCAATACATTATTTGAAAGCTAACACCCTCTAGTTTCCTAATATATTAATTAGAATTGGGTGAGTAGAACATAGACCAACCTGCATCAGTTCAAACATGACTCAAAGTTGTTTTTTTTAATTCTCAAAATGATAGGTCTTTTTTGAACAGCAGTAATAAAGACATTATTGAGAAAAAGCAGGTTTCATTGTAATATATGTGTTCTACATCACGTCAACCACAAATGCAGAAAAATTTAGACCTCTAGCTATAACAGTTTCAGAGCTGTGGGGTTTGGAACTTTTGGTGTCAGTTTGGAGCTGCGCACAATGGCTCCACCTGCTGGTAAAAAATTTACAGGTGGAATTTTATGCATTCTGAGTTTTTATCCCCACTTAAGGTTGGACTTAAGGTCCGTTTTAGAGGTTAAACATGGCCGTTTTAGTAGGTTTAAAAGAAGGTAATAACAAACACTTTAGAGGCTCCTACCTGCGACTGACAGGTACTGGTGACTCACTGAGGGAAAGAGGACCATGATTCCCAGAGTCTAACTGGGTGCCACTGCTCCCCCCACCTGACTGGCTCCTCACAGGTCCCTTATCTGTGTTGTGGATGTTGGAGGTGCTGCTGTTAGTTGTTAACCCATTCCATTGCTGACCCAGATGCGCCATCACTTCATCTCCTTTGGGATCGATTCCCACATTCATCTCCTCCAACCGCTGAATGGATCTAAGCGAACCAATGGATCCTGATTAAAATGAAATCCCATTTTCTCTCATTGGTGATGCTGAATGGTTGTGTGACTCCCCCACCTGCTGAGAAAAGTCTCAGTGAGGTTGTGTTGGGCTCCATCCTGCTGCTTCACGCCTCCCTCCAGCAGCATCTGCTGATAGAGCTGCCTCTGCTGCTGCTTGTGTTCCAGGTGCTGCTGCACACGGAGGCGCTGCTTGTAGTACTCCTGGATGTGCTCTGCGGAGTCACGGCGCTGTAAAAACACATCGACTGTGAGACGATAAGATCGAATAAAAAGCAGTGACCGGTGCACATAATGTATAATCTAGATGAATGTTTATTATCCCTTGACTAACATACTTTAAATAACTTCCAAGGTCTCGCCCTCCAACATTAATCCCATAAATAACTGTTCAAGGCCATAATCCTATAGCACTAGTAGACACTTTTATCTCCCTTTGTGCACACACACACACAATAATCTAATCTCAAAGTACTTTGTTCCACAGAAGGAACTGAGAAGCATAAAGATGAGTGATTATGGATGCAGCGGGTCAGCGGGGGTGAGAGGTTATATCCAACTTGATTATGTGCTTCGAGGACTCATGATCTACACCTCCACCAACAAACAAAGTTGAGTGGGAAGTATCTAACAGATAGCTGTGGAGATTAATTTTTAGTAGATCTATGATGGTGTAGGGTGCAACAAGCTGACGGATGTAATCATTCATCTTTAAAAATTGCGACAATGACTTTAGGCAGTGAGTGACCAGATTCTATTTTCATATTTCTTGGTAAAATTAATTCAAACTAACCCAACTAAAGTTATTAAAGTTGTTTCCTAACTATCCTTTCCAATCTATCATGCCTTTATCAGGTGTTTATTGGATCCTAATTAATACTGTAATAATACTACTCCCAAAAGCCTGTATGCGCTTTTTTCTTTTTACATTTTACCAGGCTGCAAGTTGCATGTCAGAAGGAGAAATGACAATAACTCTAAAGGTACATTTTTAAGTCCATCTTACAATTGAAGCCTTGTCAGCCATTTAAGTGAAAATTTGGGATTATTAAAGCTCCTACAGAAGAAATGACATCTAAATAGAGTTCTAAGTCTTGAAAAACATTTTTAACAGAAGTAGAGTACATTGTTTATAATACAGTATACAGCATACAGTGTTGTGGATTCAAACACACCACCTAGGTAGCACAGGTAGGTGTGGTCTCCTTGCATTGCTTTGTGACGAGTCTCCTTAAAGTCCTTTGACCTACCCTGACCAACTCTGGATTTATTTCTTATTTGGTACTTTTAATCAACACCAGCATTTTTCAAAGTCATGATTAAAAAAAAAATGTGATTGCAACAGCATGTGGGTAAAGATAAAGAATTATAGATATATAGAGTGTAGAAAAGCGCCTACACACACACACACCCACACACACAAACAAACACACAGCTTTTATTACCTCCAGTATGTCTGTGCTGCATGGTGGGCCGCCATCTTTCCCTGGAGTCAGAGGGGTGCGTGTGTTGTGTGGTCCATCCATCACCTGTGAGTACTTCCTTAATACAGAAGAAAAAAAAACTTTTAAAAGGAAGGCAGCATTTAAGCTATTTCAGACAAGACAGAATAGTATCTTCATAAAAAAAAAAAAAAACCCACAGCTCCCACAAAGATCAATAACCTGATTATTTGTTTATATTGCTGGAAGCATTTAGAACCTGATAGCTTACCACTATCAGTGTGTGAATGTAGTGAGAAACACTTTTGGGGGTCAAAAGTCTAAAAAATAGAAAAGAGGAAGAAAAAAAGGAAAAAGGGGATAGGGAGGAAAAGAAGAAGTATGTTTGGATAAAAAACATTTTTTTTTTTTTTATTGTTTTGCTCTTACATATCTAGAGTTTGAAATGCTGGAAATCAACATTTTGGCGTTCCCCAGCCTACCCCAGTGCATCAGTGGCTACAGTGTAGCTTACCACCATCAGTGTGTGAATGTAGTGATAAACACTTTTCAGGGTCCTTGGACTTGATAATACACTATAAAAGTAAAACTCATTTGCCTTAAATGTGTTTATTTTTGTAATTTATAATTTTGTGTAATTAAACAAATGAATGAACTAAATAAAGCATAAAAAAACAACAATCACATATGCCAAGAAACTCTGTAGAAAACTTCCAATCCCACCTGATTTTATCTATAAACTGCTTACACAGCACACTACTTAGAGCAGAATTATACCAAAATTGTAAAGAATTAAAAATAAAAATGGTAAAATGAAGATAAAAAAAATGTAAAAATGCATCCGTCAATATGCTCTATTCACAACTTCTCAAGTGGAAAAGTTTCAGTTTCACCTGGTCTTTCAAAAATCATCAAGGAAACTTTTGCTATCTGATTATTAATTAGAAAAAAAATCAACAGATTAATCAATTAGCAACATAATCATTAGTTTCAGCCCTAGTTCATTCCATAACTTAGGCCGCAGTGCCGCAAAACCCGCCAAAATTCTGAGGTTAGACCCTGGTTTCACACAAGAGGCAGCTGATCTGAACAACCTGAAGGTCTGGAAGGTTGTAGCAAATCAGAGGGGTAAGCAGGGGGAAAAACAATAAAGAGAACAGTTTTAAAACGGATTGGAAACTCTTGCTGGAAATTCAAAACATAGCCAGTTCCAGTCAGTCTGACTATGTTAGATCCATAATCAGATCCAGTCGTCCATGCATTTGTTACTGAGTGGTAACAAATGCATGGATGACTATTTCAAAGAAAAAACATGGGATGATGGACCCTAAGTAAGCTAAAAACAACCCTCATCACTGCCTTCATCTGGGTTCTAAATCCGAGATCACAGTTAGTTAACCAGCTCAGTAAAGAAACCAAGATCTAGAATTAGAGGCGTTACAGAATCCCATCACTTCAGTTTTCTTTTCATTAAAAGACGTTGGAGTCAAAGGTGTCCTTTCTGATGAAAGGCAACTAAATCAGAATGGTTTTCAGATATGTATCCTCTGTATGAAGTGTTTGAGAAATATTCTGCATTAAGATGAAATGAAAACATCAATAAGTTAGACTGAAGTCGGTTAATTATCAGGAGCTGAAGTGCTGAAAAAAATAAGAAGTATTTTGATACACTTTTTTTTTACTTTAGGGGACTTTAGGGGAGGAATAGTCGACACTCAAATGAAACTTATGAGAAAACATTCATCATTCAAAGCTACCACAACAATCAAAGAACCTGTCTAACATTCTTTGTGTTTTGAAACAAGAAATCGTGTCAGCAAGAAAAGCCTGAACTCTGCATCTCTTTCAAGGTCTTTGCATTAAAACAGAATCTTTTCTTTGCTTCACATTTTCTGTCTAAATGTTTAAGCAAGCTGCCTTCCTGCTGCCTTCTGGGAATAGGCTTCACAGCATCCGCTGCAGGTCCAGCAGGTTCTGCAACAGCTTTTTCCCTGCAGCCATCTGTTGAACTATCTACAAGACTCTGCGTCATATTATTTTGCATTACCATTGTTGCTGAACTTTTATCATCCTTTCAAATAGGACAAAACTCAACTATATTCCGCATTTTGCACCATATCTATTTTTGCACTGCGCTGAACTTTTTCATATAAATCCCCTTTTGCACCATTATTTAAACTGGTTTCTTTCTCCTACTTTGTCATATTCTGATCACTGCTGCACTTGGTAATGTTGATCTACTCCAACTGAAATATCATTACACTGTTGTAAGCTGTATGCAATGAAATAAAGTTTTGTATACACTTTGTATATACAAAATGACAATAAAGTTTGTCTAAGACTAGGTTAGATGTAGTTCAGAGTAAACAATTTCATAAAACACAATAAATTAATACATTTTGAGTCAAATTATATGTGTCCATCTCAACATGTTTAATCCATGCTTAGTGTGAGGGATTGCATTTAGGTCAATGAGTCGATGAAATCAACTGGTTTGCCTCAGATAGAAAACTTTGAATTAATATGACTGGATGATATGTTTGAATTGTAAAGTGCCTTGAGATGATGTGTTGTGAATTGGCGCTATATAACTAAACTGAATTGAATTATATTTATCCAATAAACCCAGCGAATTAAACAGGTCTTAATCCACTTTTTACCTCTCTGGGGAGTCATCCTGCTGATGCACATTATTTTCAACTAGACTCCGACTGAGTGTAGATTTCACACTGGTTTCCATGCCTCTTTTGTCCTGTGCTGCCAGTCCATGGGACAAACCATCTAGAGCTGGGTTGAGGGACCTTGACATGTAGGTATCTGCTGAATGAGGTCTGTGACGACAGGGCGAGGTGGGGCGGGGAGAGAGGCGGTCGATTAGAGGAGTAAGGAGGTCCGCGTGTCCAGCCTTGCTGGGTTTCACTAAGCGCTCCACGTGAATGTTGAGCGTCTTCTGTTCAAAGGCGCAAGTGAAAGCACCAGAGGAGAGGTTCTGCAGCCAGGATAGGAGTGACAGATCCAGCTCATCGCATCCATTCCCACAAAGTAAGTCCACGCCGAGCAACACCTCCCCTTCTCTGATCTCTTCACCTGTTGCTTTGCTCTAGAAAACATCAAGATATAAAAAGACATTTTTGAACCCTCTCTAAAAGGTTACCTCTGGCTAAGTAATAATGAATTTTTAAACTATTTTCTTTTCTTCTATATTAAAATCTAATTTCAGTCCATTTTTATCTTTAATAAATCATGATACCTGGCAGAACTCTACACAGCACTCATAAAGGATCCCTTTGATGAGCAGCTGGAAGAGACGGTTCCCACTTGCTCTAAAGCCTGCCTCGCTCAGCTTCCTGTCAGCAGGGATGAACTCGGCCACCATAGCACAGGCCTCCTCGAAGCAATGGACGCGGGCCGTGCTCGGATTCCAGTCTTTGAACTCAGCGTGGTGGGTGAGGCGAGGCAGAGTGAGGAGGAGACACAACTTGCTATAGTCATCTTTGGTCGGGCAAAACTCCTCCAGACTGTGGAGACACTTCACAGCCTCCTGCATGGTAAACTCCAGCTACAGAGGGAGGAAAAGTTGGACTCTGAACTTTGCACATATTTTAATACAAATTTGGAGGACAACAGAACCCCCTGAGAAATTTGTACAAAAACCTTCTTTAATTATATAAACATTTATGGTTCAAACTGCTAGGATTTCCTCCTTAGCTTTAAAGTTATCCTAAAAAGAAAAGTTCTAGAAAAAGTTTTATTGCTAATTTTTTTTATTCCTAAAATGGTTGAAACAGTGTGAAACAAAAAAGCCTATATATATATATATATATATATATATATATATATATATATATATATATATATATATATATATATATATATATATATATATATATATATATATATATATATATATATATATATTTTGTTTATTTTTATATATATTAATAAACAAAAACTTTTACTGAAACACTGAAAAAAATATATAAATGAACACATTTCATGATCAACACATAAAAAGACTTTAATTTTAAGACCGCCTCAAGTTCTAAATGGATTATCTACCTTTATTACATCCATATACAGCCATCATAAAACAATTGTTTTAGCAGAGAGGCCTCTCTGAGCTTCAAATAATTTTTGTCCATCCCACTTGAATCAAACAGTTCATTCTCCTACTACAGAGCAACACAACCATTGACTGCATGAATTAAATTGTCTGGTTGTTTTTCAAATAAGACATTTTAGTCTAATATGACAACTTTTAACTTCAACTAAAAACAACACATACGTACATTATGTGTATCCTCTGTAGCTGATATGGCGTTATTCACACACAGAGCTTCCAGAAATCTCTGCTTTAGGATGATATAACGGAATCTGGAAATATGAATCACAGTATTAGGAAACTGATGTTGAAGAAAACAGAGACTAGTGGCTTTAAATGTTCTTCTAATGTGCAGAGAGGAGAGATATGGAACAGAAAATAGGCCAGTTAAGAATCTTTTCCAGGAAGGAAAACTCCAAAACAATGCAGATAAATAATCTCACAGATATTTTATCTGACCTTTTCTTGTCAAACTTATCCATTCCTTCTAAGGGTTGAATGAACTGCATCACCTCCTCCCACTGCCCATCCAGAATGAGTTGCCTGTAGAGAAAAATAATATAAATTTTTCTAGGTTTATGTTTAGGTGCCTTTCATTGTAAGAAGAAATAAATGATCAATGGCTTGAAATAAAAATAAATTTGCCTGATTATTTGAAGGATTATTAAATCTGGATTGAAGCCATTTTTTTATTTTTTCTAAAAATATATATATATATATTTTAAATTTCTCCTTACCCAGTCTGATGCTGCGTAAGCAGTAATTGTGAAATTGCTTTTTACTTTTTGTTGCTTTTTTTTCCGTTTTGTTTTTGAGGTTATGCATTGACTGTCGCTCTTTACATACTCAAAACCATGGATATTTCTTAACCTATTCCTGCTTTAATCTAAATTAATTTTATTCTGACTTTTTTTGCAAGCTTACCATGGTCTTCATGGTGCTGTTCACTAACCTCTAAAACCTTCAAGCTGGATTTAATACTTAGAAAACCTCTAAAGCCAAGTGGTAGCACTCAATTTAATACAAATGCAAAACACACTTTTCTCATTTTTATTAGCAGAAATGTTTCAATATCTGGGATATTTTTTTTTCTTTCCTTTAATGCACTCATTTCTCTCAGCTATAAATAAAACTACTGTTTGTTATCTGTTTAACAGTATTGTTCTTTTCCAGTTTTTACATCTATGCTAATGAGTTGGTAAACATACCGGAGGAAAAGCATATCATCTGAATAGAGCCCATTAATGACCCCGCTCTCCTTCTCCAGAGCCAGCATGCTGATGTGCAGCTTCCTGGAGTTCAGGAAGTCCAGAATCAGCTTGATCACCTCGGCCTCCTTGATGTTGATGATCTCCTCTGCCGTCATGCTTGTATATGGGATAAGCGGATAGCACTTAGCTAGGGAAAGCATCAGAAGCAGGGAAATGGCTTTTAGTAGTGTGTGAGCACTCATATGTGTGAGTGATTCTTCAGTTATCATTTAGCTGCTGGTTGTTTTTATTATCTCTTATAGTCGGCTATATGAGGGTGACGACTGCCACAATACAATAAGTAAAAAATGAAATAATCATTTTTAAATGTATTGTTAATTTATTAAAACAGGAAATAAATACATTATTTATTTAATAAATGCACAATTGATTACATGGGCCTCAGTTTTAATACACAGATTTCATGTTAAGAAGTGAATATCATTATTTAATGATTTAACAAAATGACTTTATATTCCTGTGCTGAAGCACACCATGAATTAATTAAAGCTGTCACAAATTCCTTCAAAATGAAGTTGGCAGGACTAGAGAAACCCTGGTGCTTCTGACTGAGCCATATAAGGCAACTTCTGCCTGGTTTTCTTTTTCAGTAAAGTGTTTTAACAGAAAATGTTGTAAATAAATTTAGAAAATGTGTTGCCATTCATCTACATTACATTGGGTGAGTAACTACAGCCTCTATATCCCGAGTTTGGTTTCTAAAATGTTGATGAGCGGGGCATTATTCAGTGGACGGGGCTAACTTTGATTCTACTAAGGTCTCCTGAAGCTCCCACCAGGCTAGACCACGGCAAATTGTAAGTTTATTAGCTTTATTTCAGACAAACCTGGGGTTATAGAGACTGAGGTTGTTCACCTAATGTGCTGTAAAGAAATTGTAACCCGTTTTTTAAGTTATGTCTGCCTTTTCCAACAAAAATATTGACTTTAAAGGAAACCAAGAAGTATTCTTACTTTGCTCATTGGGAAGCAGCCAATCAGACATCAGCGCTTCTAAGTGGCCCTAGTTCCACCTCCTTAATTTTTTGGGATGTTGATCGATTGATTGATTGACTTTATTGATCGCACAGTGGAGAAATTTTCTCATTACATCAGCTCAATAGTCAAAAAGAAGGAGAAGGTGCCAAAAGGAGGAAAAGGTGCATGGGGGTATATACAGTGCGTCCTCCTATATATATGATAGCTGAAGTCTCTTATTTATTAAATAGTAATTGTACATTAGAAATTGCACAAGTTATTGCCGTAAGAGTTTCACATATTAGAGTCTGATGGCACCAGGGATGAATGACCTGCAGTAGCGCTCCTTTTTACAAACAGTATGTGTGTCATTTTATTGGGATTCTAATATATATATTTATATAGAGTCAGCATATTCAATTTAGGCCTATATAATCAATTATACTTATTATTTTCAAAATGTAGTTATATCCAGTGGGAATACTTAAATAGTTATTTTTTTAGTTATTTATCCATTGTATTGTGGCACTGGTCAGCCTCCATACAGCTAAACATTAAAGACATGAAGTTGCCTCAAATCATTTACCTGAATATGTTACTGATGAGCAAAACGGTCTGTTGCTCTAAAGCTTCACTTGTTCTGCAGAAAGAGGGAAGAAAAAGATTTTTTTTTAAATCATCAGCTTTTATCAGATGACTGAAAGCCTACGCTGTACAAATACAACAGTCTAAACTGAGACACAGTTTAAAATTAAACCACATATTCACAGGAACAAATGACATAGTTAACAGTGAAAGTTGGCAATAATTACCCCAAATGCAAACATTTGGGGTAATTATTGCATCTGGAGTAAGAATGCCGGATACAAACTGCTGAAATGAGTTTTCTCCATAGTGTGTCTGGGCTCTCCCTTAGAAATGGGGTGAGAAGCTCTGTCATCCAGACTGGCAACAATGCATGTAAGACGGGAAATGTTAGCCTTTAGATGCCAAATCGCAACATATTTTTGCAAAATATTCAAACATAAATTCACCAAATATAACAGAAACATAATAGTTTGGTTTAAAGAAAGTATTTCAGTTTTATTATAATTGAGTTTGTTGCAAGGATTTTACAGCTTGAAGAAATAGAAAATTACACCTTATGCCAACCTTCACAAGGATATGCATGACAAGGAAGGGCTATATATACTGCATGCATTATTGAGGTAGTTAACACTGTATTACTTCTTGTGCTCATTGAGTTATTTACTGTCACGGGTAGGAGCTTCGGCTGGAAAGGAAGTGTTGGGGCCGATATTTACCTCCCACACTGAAATTAGAACCGGCCGACCGGGCAAATGCCCGGTATCCCAGATTACCAGTCCGAGCCTGCTCCCTGGTGAGGTTTTCCAGGCACGTCCCACTGGGAAGAGGCCCAGGGGAAGACCCAGGACACTCTGAAGGGACTATGTTTCTTGGCTGGCCTGGGATCGCCTTGGGATACCCCCAAAAGAGCTGTCCAAGTGGCTGAGGAGAGGGACGTTACGACACCCGATAAGCAGAAGAAGATGGATGGATGGATGGATGGATGGATGGATGGATGGATGGATGGATGGATGGATGGATGGATGGATGGATGGATGGATGGATGGATGGAGTAAGAATGCATTTACTTGCATCATCAGATTAGGTCTATTTTAAGGTTTACTACCATCAGCGCAGAAGTTAACTAGGCTTATGAGTTGGGCAATTTTGCAGCCTATACGGAATTGTGGTTTACAGTAATTAGAAGGGAGCTGAATTCACTTGTCGAATGATGTGTATTACAAACAAGAGCCAAAATTATTTTTTTACAGAAATATTCAAAATATTTAACAGACATCTTCTCCACTGACAGTAACGTCTAACATGCATCTAATGTGTGTGTGTGTGTGTGTGTGTTTTAAGAACCGTGTGTATATTAAGATTGGTCGATGCAGAGTTTAAAGCTGCAGCATCTGAGTCTGCTATGGACACCAGGAGGCTGTGTGTCCATGCAGGTTTGGTGTAGAAGGAGCAGAGGGAGGTGATGACGCCTGGTGGCGGTGCGCAGACACCGCCCCGTCCCTCCTCTGCACTAAAACGCACTATCCCGCTCCGGTTCTGGAGCAGATTTGCGGCCCACACCTGACAGCTTGCACAGCATCTTAACCCGCTTCTAGACAGACGCTATTTACGCGCGATTAACAGATTTCCACGTAAAGCCGCTCCACAAAACACGCAGGAGAACAGGAGGCGTTTTAGTGTCAGACCGCGGATGAGCCACGCTGAGCCTGCAGCTCCTCACCTGTCATCCGCAGCCCTCCGGCAGTCATTCTCTGCAGTGTGCAGGTTTCCAGCGTCCTCTAAGCCTCACACAGCAGCGGCTCTTATATGTTATTATTATTCATAGGCTGCACTCTGCTTCGCTTCTTGTACACAGCTTGTGGTTGCCATGCGGACGCAGGCGTCATCCACCAATCAGCTGAGGGAATGACGCCCAGCGGTCACACCTATAGCGCCACAACGCGACAACTTTGAAAGGAGGAAGACAGAAGACCTGACTGACAACATATCAGTCTCTAACTCACCTGGAGACTGAAGAACATGTCCATGATGGACTATTTGTTTGCTGTCCACCCCTGTCAACACACCCATGTGGGGCCCATGGATGTGGGCTGGTGCCCCATCTGGGTCCCAGATATTTTTATTTTGTTCCATGGTGGCCCTAAATGGGCCAGCCCAGATGGGCTGAGGGTGGGTTTCATATGGGCCCCATTTAAAGCCTACATGGGCAACCCAAGTTTCTCCCACATGGGTTCCAACAACCAGGGGCGGAGCTAGATGAGGGCCAGGGGTGGCCATGGCCACCCATAGCCAATCTGTGGCCACCCCTACCATTTTTTCTCTCAAGTAGAATAATCAAAACATTTTAATTTTATATATATTAACAATTACTTGACAACAAAAACACTGTTGTTAATTATGCACATCAATATACCTACATTAGAGATGATTAGTACAGAATTCATGCTCTTTCAGAACTAGATTTTGTGTTTTATGCCGTAAAGAGAAAATGATGTGTCTCTGCAAGTCGTCTGGGAGTCTTCGGTGAAATCATAGATACTGTAAATAATTATTTTAACAAAAACATATTAAATAATCAATTTATTTAGATATTTGTACTTATAAATATAGATTTAAAGCTACAGTGTGTAATAATTACAGGGATATACAGTCAGAAATGTAATATATTTGCGCTACGGCAGCGCAGAGCCAACAAACTAGTGATTGCGAGATCGCCAAAATGTCACAACGATGTAGAAAAAATAACGGATATATTTATTATCTTAAGTCTACGTGAAATCTATACCCTACACAGACTAATGAAATACTATCTGTAAAATTATCTATGTAAACAAACCTCATCACTTTAGAAGGTAGGTGATGAGGACGTCGTGGAAGACATTTTGTCCCGTAACGCTCACCGTACTGTTGGGGGGGAGAAGCGGTGGGGGGGAGATGTTCATGTTGCTGCGGTCTGCAGTCTGGCCGCTAGATGTCGCTAAAAGTTACACACTGTAGCTTTAATGTAGAATGATGTTGATAAAAGTAGGTAAGTATGACAATGGAAAAGATGTTCGCTCCAGAACTCAAACCTCAAAGAATTTTATCCAATATAGCTTTTATCAAGATGGATGTTTAAATATATGCATTTGTTAGCAAAGGCTGTAGGAAACTATAGTTTGTCTTTATTTAGAAATGTGGACGTTGTGCTTGTTTCTGTTGGAACAGTGTAGATTGACCCTGAGGTTCTGGTGCCTATCCACTTTTGGCCACCCCTCAGTATACATTGGTTATTGACTGGCCACCCTTATAGAAATTTTCTGGCTACGCCTCTGCCAGCAACAGAGCCCACTCTGAGCCCATTCCAAGCTGAAGCCCATCCAGCCAAAGTGAGGCCCATATGGTCCCCACCTGGAGGTGTTTGCTGGGTTGGAATGGGGGCCGTTTGGCTTCTTTTGTTAACCTGCAATGCCCCATACCCCTCTAAATCTCTGAAAGGGGGGTCGTTAAAGGGAATTGTTGGCCCGGCTGAATAGGCGAGGTCCTAGATCTGAAGAAAAAAAAACACAAAAATTACATGAAGTATAATTCAGCCTTGAATAAATTAATTAAATTAACAAATAAATGAATACATTTGACAAAATAACTCAACTCGCTGGTGAAGATTCTCAGTCATCCAGGTCATAGAGTTTCAAAAGAAAAGAAAATTAAAAACAATCCACTGGACTTTGTTTCGCTTACCATCCAGGAAGCTTTTTTAATCAAAATGTCAGCAATCGCGTTGAGTTGCAAACATGCAAACTGAAACGGACGAAATGGTCCACCCCTTTGGAATGGGGGTCGTTTGGCTTCTTTTGTTAACCTGCAATGCCCCATACCGGTCTAAGTCTCTGAAAGGGGGGTCGTTAAAGGGAATTGTTGGCCTGGCTGAAAAGGCGAGGTCCTAGATTGCGGGCTAACAAAAGAAGCCAAACGACCCCATTACAAAAGGGTGAACCCTTCCTCCGTTTTAATTTGCATGTTTTCAAAACAAAAACAAGGTTTTGTTGAGCTACTGTATAAAACCTGGAACTCAATGCGATTCCTGACATTTTGAATTGAAAAAGCTTCCTGGATGGGAAGTGAAACGTATACAAACTTGGAAACAAAGTCCGGTGGATTGTTTTTAAAAAAAATTTTTTTCGAAACTCAATGACCTGGATGACTGAGAATCTTCATCAGCAAGAGTTGAGTTATTTTGTCGAATGTATTTATTTATTTGTTAATTTAATTAATTTATTAAAGGCTGGATTATCCTTCATGTGGACACATTTTTTTGTTTTTTTTCCCCTTCAGATCTCAGCAGTTCTTTTGTAAGGATACCGGGCAATTATTTCCAATTATTGTTTTCTCTTAGTGGAGCAATCTAAGTTTTTACATGTTTACTTTATAGTCATTTCCTTTAAATTTTCCATATTGAAAGGCTGATAAACTACAATCCCTTCTATGTTCTGTATTTTTATGGTAAAATCCTGGCAACCACAGTTGCTGATAATATATTGTTGATTTTCTTCACAATAAAGGTTTGTACTGTATTATTCATTTCTTTTAAGCTTTTTACTGAAAAATAAATCCGTAGTTCTTATATTGTTATTCCATAAACAGTTTGTTCTCCTTTGGTTTCTAAAACATCCTTACAAGCATTTAAAATCATTAAAGTAGTGGAGCAGAATGAAAAATATAAATAGTAATGATGCCTTCATGTAACCATAAAAATCTCTCATTCAAAGAACCTGTCCTTTTAAAGGAGGGACAGTAAACTTTCCATTTTTTTAGACTTTTTTTTAACCCTTAGGGTTACACTAGGGAAATTCTGGTTCCAGTAGTTTATATAGAGCACAAAAAGTTAAAGCAAAATGCCATTAAATGGATGCTCATGTTTTCTGAAATGTGTTTGAAGAGTAAAAAAAAACATCATCCAGACTGAGGCCATGCTGAAGTTTATTAACTGCAAAAACAAAAACCAATCCAAAAAATGGACCTACTGCGCAAAATTGAACAACAGCACAAACAAAGGCATCGTAGCAGACAGAAAGCTCACATGAACACACTGTACACTATCGTTACACGTTGATCCCTTTTTCCTCAGCCAAAAGCCTCCTGTGGACAGTTTTCTTCCTCTGTCACATTTTTTACGTTTCTCAAAATGTACATGTTTTTTCTGGTAATAAATACCCCCCATTCCCCCCCTTATTCAAAGTCACACTCTTAGGAAAATAATAGCACCATGCTTACGGATTTATTCAGTAAAAAAAAAAAAAACTCACACATGGTGTTTTTCTAACATTCAGAGGCAAAATTAACACGATTGGTGAGCCTTTACCCGTATTCAGCAGCTTGGATCCACATGAAATGCTCTTTCTTGCATCAAGCTTACTCTTAATTTTTTTAAAATAGCAATGAACATAATTGTCCTCATCACGCTGCTGTCCTTTTTAACACATGTTGCATTAAAGACATCAGACAAATAGGCTGTTGGTACACACACTCACTACCTAATAACTTATTCGTGGTCAAACCTATTTGTGAGCAAAAAATCAATCGAAGCAGAAAAATGGAAACTTATTTCCTACTGGACATTTTCCTTAGAATTTGGCACTACTTAGAGGCATGGCTGACCTATTTCATGACATTATAATGATATATTAACTACATTTTGGTGCTTTGTGGAGTTGTGAAAGTTGTCTTAAGTTTAGACTGATTTATTAAAGAGTGTAAATCTTGTGTTTAAAGCTGTTAAAATCCCAGCAGACTGACTTAAACTAGGGTATAAGTAACAATTAGTCAGTTTTTGAACCAGCGGGTGAAAGTGTTACGTTAATAATTTTATATCGTAAGCTCCCTACGTGGTGCAGTTTGCAGCATTTAATAAATGCAATAATACTGAGTTGTTTTGTTTTGTTCCAAACCTGCTGTAAAAGTTTTGAATCCAGAAATCTCCATTGCAGCCTTTAAGGTGAGTTTTGCATCTACTTCTATCGCTGTAGATGCAAACACCCCCACTGCCTGTATATCATACATTCATTGACCATCCTAGCATTAACTGACTTAAGAAGTCGTGTCCTAATGGTTGAGAACCAGTAAACTACAGCCACGTTTTCCAATCCATAAGGTCGCCTCCTCAGTGTTCTGTAAAAGCTGAAACCGCTTGGCTTTGTAGAGCTGAGCACACGTGAACTGTGTGGCTAACACTAGCTGTATGCTGTTTTTTTTATCATTTTTTTGGCCCTTTTTGAAATTTTTAACGACCATTTCATACAAACTGTTAAATCCGAAGACATTAAAGTAAAAGGTATCCTTTAAAACACGTAAAAAGTTGCTGTTTGATCGTTCCTTCAATGCACTCACACAGACACGGGAAACCCTATGCATAAGGCTCTACATAATACACACAGAAATCCATCTGTACATGAAAACATTCAGAGCTTCCAAATATCCTCGCATTCATTCTGTCTCTTTTTTGACTTTTGGCACATAAATAAAACTTGCGCATACCTTGACAGATCGACCCAAAGGTGGCCAAACATTTGTTTAATAGTATCATACATTCCAGATCAAAGTCTGATGCATCCTGACACATTGAGTTCATAGTTTGCAGGATAGACAGGGATGCAGTGAGAGGAGAAACTTAACATAAAAAAAGACAGAGATGCATTCGTCAAACTGGCATTGCAGGTGTTGGAATCTTTATGGATATGTACAGCGAAGTGTAAACTGAGATGGGTACTGATTGAGGGTATAGGGTTCTATTAGGATTGTGCAGGCACTACTTTCTTAGGGGTGGCTGGCTTCTTGGCTTGCCAGAGGTGGTTGTGGATGGTCACAGCATCCACGCTGGCCGACATGGTTTTGGCCGGTATCTGACTGAACTGCTTCTTGTCCGAGTTGTATTTGTAGAGTCCGTCTATCATTTTGCGTGTAATGCTCTTTGGACCAATGCCTGTGAGCTTGGCGATCTCCTCCGACTCGGGACAGTAGGTGTAGAGGGAGCGAAACTGGCAGCCAGAATCCCGGAACAAAACAAGGAAGTTATTAGCTTCTGATTTTTCCATTTCCTGTTGAAGTAAAAAAAAGAAGCTTAATGTCAGAATAATAAATGCCAAAGTAATCTTGACCGGCCTCCTTTTTAATTGTGTGTTTCTCAAGGCAATACATCCAGAGACTGATGTCTAAATGTAGAGAGGCTGACCATACTAATCAAGCTATCTGCACCTAACTCTAATGTAAGGTGATAAAAATAATAAGTTAAAGAAATAAACATTTTGAATGTTTTTTTTAATGCAAATTATGAGAAAATAATGGATGACGCAAAGACATGAAACTTCCGACTTTAAGCTCATTCGTTTCACATAACGAACACATGGAAGGCCATTATTGAGCTAATGCCATGGTCACTTACAAAAGAAATAAACATGAAATGTATTATTAATATGTTTTTTACATTTTTTTTTGCAGATAAGGGGACTATTTAATATCTCTCCTTGACAATCGTTACCAAGGTAACTGGCTCTGGCCACAAAAGCTGCTGCTCGGTCAGCTGTAGCTTCAGATCATATCAAGTATTGCTTCAAAACAGGCCAAAACAATAATTTAGAACAGTTTTTTTTTTTACTTTTTTTAGGTGTCCTATAATATTTTTGATGGACACCCTGCGGTCAATCAGCATCAACTATTCACCCAAACCATGCTATCAATATAAATGACTTTATTCACTAAGAAAATCACAGATTCTGCAAAAATAATGATTACAAACCTTTAATTATGTCATTGAGGATTGTCCGCTACAGATAACGAACAATATTTAGAGTGTTAAATCAGACTAAAAAAATATGATTTTTCATACAATAGGCTTAATGAAAAGGGTTACTTCAGAGACCATATGACCAAATTATTAAGCTGGATGGATTTAGAGACAAAACAAAGAAAACTATACATATATAGTGCAAAAAATAGAAAAAAAGAAAATTCAGCATTTTTTTTTTGCACATAGCACTATCCCATAACCCGTAGGAAGTAACTTAAATTTCAGATTTTTGGAATAAAAATGCAAGAAAACTCGGAATCATTTTTAATTAGCACTCAAATTTGATTGTTAAAAAGTATAAAATTTCATGCAAGAAATTGAATAATATTTTTTTCTTATTTATATATTGTTTTAATATATTCATATATTTAAAAATATTCATTTTAAAATAAAAAAATATGTTAGCAGTTAAACTAAGTTTAGATATTAAACTGCTGATCAGAGCTAATTCAAATAAAAAGAAAAGAGGAGATTTTCACAGTAGCAGGCATCATGCCATGCTGTTACCTCCAGGATCTTGTTCTTTTGACCCTCATTGACCTTGCCTGCGAGGCAGCAGTGGGAGAGAGCATTCTGGATGATGTGCTTGTTAGATTTGGCACTGGGCTCTTTGTAGAGCCTTGGTCCTGAGGAGGAAAAAATAACACCAGAATGAGACTATTTTAGTTACATCATAAAGCAAACCTTCATTTCCATTTTTACTTTTTTAATCAATAATGTCTGATTATTTGTGTCATGTAACCAAGTTGGAGAGGAGAATGATAGCAATGACTATATATATATATAGTTGTGCTCTAAAGTTTACACACCCTTTCATTAAAGACTGCTGCCAGTAAGATAAATTACATTTGGCCAAAGTAATAATGACATTGATTTTGAATATATATATTCAGATAAATATGTATTTATTAATAAATGAAGTAAGTAAAGAAGCCTGATTGAGCTCCTGAAATAAAATGCTGTTGAGCAGCACTTTGAGGCATTCACTGAAATCAGGTGTTTTCTGTAATGTTAAGGAAATGTTCAGTCAGACTCTCCACCTGTTGACAGCTTTGTTGGTTCACTGTTCATCAGAAAGGTACTTTAATCTATCAGGGATTGTTCTTATTTTTTTTCTTTTAAATAAAAATTCTAATTCAATATTTTATTTTACTAAATTTTTCGTTTGGTTATTTTTACCTTTTTACAGTTTTGTATTTTTTTTAAATACTTGTGTGAATTTATCATTTTCTTTAATGGGAGGGCATGTAGACTTTCAAGCTGTAGATCATAAAAGTCAGAGGTTCCCCCAATGAGCTGTGTTTTTGTTAGGACTGCTATAACCATCCTTCATATAATATATAAATACTAGATTTGTTTAAGATAAACATTGTAGGTCCCCTACCGGTATACTCTGTGTTGGATGTAATGGAAGAGGTGGTTGAGGTGTTTTCCCAGTCCTTTTCCTCATTTCTACTGGAATGACTCGGTGAAAGAAAGCCATCTGCAGAGTCTGGCCTAAAAAATACACACATACAGAGATGTAGACACACGGACTTTTAGCTCACCTGTCCTGCATGTGATCTAAACCCCAATGATCAGCAGAGTGCAGTGCAAGAGAGGCAGGCTGATATTCAGTCTGGTCATCAAAAGCAAAGACTGGGTTTGATGTAGCAGAGGGCATCAAAACAGCATAGCTTGCAAACGCAGGAGGGGGAATGGGGTGGGTGTGGAGGGGGGCATGATGTGTACCAAGTCAATCAAATACAGTGCAGAGGTTGGCTTTTTATGCTCTAATTTTCCAATAAGAGCAACTAAAGCCAAATCCTGATCAAACATTTAAAGGAGTGCTTTGTGAATGCACATTAACAAGTCATTAAAGTCTCCCATATTAACGATCCATGTGTTTATCATATAACACAGTCAAGACTTGATAAATATATTTTATGCAGCGTGGGATCTGCAAAACCAATCTGTGACATGAAGGTTCCCCTTCATGTTTATTCAGCTGTGAAACGAACAGGAGTGAATATCAGAGGAGCATAGTGGGGGTTTGCTTTCAAAGCTTAGGCTGCATCTCACTATTAAGCACTTTACAGCCCCTTTGCACATTTCTTCACAAACATGAAGCCATGAGTTAAATTCTGCTGAAAAATTATTAAACACCTCGTCACCTATTTGTAAATGGATAAAGGCTGTAAAATGCTTTATAACAAGAGAAAGATCTGTGAGCATCTTTATGCTCCAACCTACAAGCGCAGGATGGCTGGAAGCAGACCAGTGCTCTGAAATTGATAATGAGCATCTATGCAAATGTATAAAAAAATTAGAATAATTGTTGCCTTAGTTTCAAGTCCCAAGAAGCAACTAACCTTCTTCTCTTTTTGGGAGAGCTCAAAAAATAGAAGAGACTGCTAGAGGCTAAACTAGAACTTCTGATGTGTGAAACAGCAAGTATGAAAGTTGCAGAAGGGGAAAAAAATGGTAGAGAATGTTAGAGAAGAGAAACATATTTAACTGAGATATATATATATATATAATATATATATATATATATAATTCTATTCATCAATGGTTTTAAAAGTAAAACTCACATTATCCTAAAGCGTTCTCAATAACAACCTGAAGTTTTAACCTCTTAACATCCACCTCCTTTTGGGTAATCCTCGCCTATTTTGCATACCCAAATGGTAAAGCAAATTACATGTGCAATACATTATTTGAAAGCTAACACCCTCTAGTTTTCTAATATACAACTTAAAATTGGGTGACTAGAACACAGACCAACCTGCATGAGTTCAAACATGACTCAAAGTTTAATTCTCGGAAATTATGGGTCTTTTTGAACAGCAGTAATAAAGACATTCTTGGGAAAAGGCAAGTTTTATTGTCTTATATTTGGTCTGCATCATGTCAACCACAAATGCAGAAAATTTCAGACCTCCAGCTATAACAGTTCCAGAGCAGTGGGGTTTGGAACTTTTGGTGTTAACTTGGAGCTGCGCGGAATGGCTTCACCTGCTACATTCTGATTTATTACACCCACTTAAGGTTTTAAGAGGTTAAAACTAAATTAAAACCCCCAAAAAGGGTCAATTTCTATTGCAGTTTCTTCTGCTTGCACTAATACAGTAATAAAAGCATCTTACCTCGGCGCCCTTTTGTCTGAGAGAACACTGTCACTGTCGCCCAAGGTCAGCGAAGCCAAAGACAAGCTGGAGACTGAAAAGAAACGTTGGCGTGAACCTGGATGTGAGACAACAAGGTGTGGCACAGAATGACATGATTACAGACACCACTGATGGAAACAAAGCCAGCCATGTCACAGAGTAACAGGGTCGTGGAAATGATAACATTCAGACACCAATAAAATGGATGAACACAACATATGAAGACCTAAATAGTTTATACAAAAAGATTTCAACAAATAAGGGTTGCTTTCTTTGTTTCTGATGTTTTTTTTTGTATATCAGTCTGCTAAACTTAAATGCTTGTGCACTTTTCTCACTATTTATTACCCATATTAACATAATTTCTTTAGATTTGCCATTAATAAATAGCAAAGCACAAGAAGCCAATTTTCTCAGATAGAACAAGGATGTTTTGGACAATGAGTTGTATAATGGAACATCTGACTCTGCGCTGAGTCCTTAAGGTTACCTGTGGAAGCTCTCACAGGGGTCTTCGGGGAGTCCATGCTGTCGCGATGAATGGACTTGGGTCGGCCTCGCTTCTGCTTGGCTGGTCGAGGGTTGATGATGGTGTCCATGTCCTCCATCAGCTTCAGCTGCTTCCTCCTGAGGTACTCCTGTTTGATGAACTCCTTCCTGGCCTTGTCCTCCTCCTTCCTGGCACGCTCCTCCTCTGCTTTAAGTCTGAACAGGTTGCGAACATTTTTTTGAGTTGACATAATGGATACTACAATATTTAATCTTATCTAAATATTTGTAGATCATATACGTTATTTTTTATCACTGGATTTAAGTATATCTGCATTCTTTAGTAAAATGTGGAAATCTCTTATTCTTATGATTTTATAAAGATTTAAAGCTGCAGTCGGGAGTTGGGAGGATTTTAATCATGCATAAGCATGACTGTCACTGCTAAGACAGTCCTGCTGGCTCTGATTGGTTGCTTTGGTGTAGGATCATTGCAAGAACAGAGAGGAAATGGATTATCTTTCTGATAGTCTACTGTCTGAACATTAGAGGTGAGTATTGGCATGAGTGTTGCGATTCGATACATGTCGCGATACTTGGGTCACGATACAATATTATCACGATATTGCAGTATCACTATATATTGCCATATTTTCCCCAGCTATCAAAATCAAATGATGAGATAAAACAGCAAGTGCTGTATATTTTCATCAGAACATATTGATTAGGTATTATTATCCATGTTGTTTGGGGTTTTCTTCCACTGTGACTGCCTCAAATACAGATTTGGTGCTGCACGCACAGTTAAAGGGCTCCACAGCGCTTTCTGCCAGAGTGGTGGTACAGAGGTAGCCCATTTTCCCATCAATGTTTTATGTAACCATAAAAAAAAAAAAAATCGATACTAAGAAGTGAAAGATCGATATTATATTGGGCAGCCGAATATCACGATATATCGCCAAAAACGATTATTTCCCACACCTCTACTGAACATAGAGACAGTTTTAACAGAAATGTTTCCAGATGTTACCGACTTTACCTTTAATAGAAAAAGAATCAATAAAAACAGAACAAGAAAATTCACTTTTAAATGAAAGAACTGAAAAAAATAGAAATTTGGTGATATATATTGGAATAAAACAAAAAAGCTAACTAATTCAAATTCTAATGTAAGCAATGACGAAGCTAACTTTTTAGCTAATTGAAGGAAGGAAGATGTAAATGTGCGTACCGAGCTTCTTCTTTCTTCTGCTCCAACTCAGCCTCCAGCTGCACCTTTCTCATTTGGCTCTCTTTCTCTCTCCTCATCCTTTTCTCAAGCAGTGCTGCTCTCCTCTGTGCCATGTTCTCGTCTGCCTTTCCATCCTCCTGAAGAAGACAGTAGACATGAGGACGTTAGTCACTACAGTAAATGACTGTACTTTTGGAGAATACAAGGCTTATGACACCATTTATTTACTATGCAAACTATAATAGACAATGTAGTATTGAAGAAGAAGAACAAATTGCATATTTTTGTAAGACCTGAGAAGGTGTGGCGTTCATTTCTATTAAGTATTTTTAAATCCACAAAAAGCTGCAGGATCCACACAAGGGGTAGAGGAAACCAACAAATGAAACAAAATGACATGAATTAGCAAAAATGAAAGCCATTTTTGAAAAAAAAAAAAAAATCTCAAATACTCAGTTTTGCCAATTGCCAAAAACCAAACAGGGGAAAACAGAAAATATGAGGAAGAAAAAAACTTGACACATATAACAGCATAAATAAACAACTATAACTACTATAAAAGCTACCTGGAAACTGATGATTCCCTTTTTCTTTCAGTTAACAATCACTACTATTTTCTTTTTGTGTATATATATATATATATATATATATATATATATATATATATATATATATATATAATATTTATTATAGATTCCCCATTACATGCATTAAAAGTGCATGTCTTACTTAAAAATATCTGAAAATGTTAATTTTAAGCATCACTGTACATCTCAGTATTCTGCAGTAAAACCGCAACAATGGAAATAAATAAATAAACCACATCTTGTCGGTTTTGGTTAGACCTACTGCAGATAAATGCTTTAAAGTTATATTCACAACATGAATTTATTGACTGAATGCATTTCCCTTCATTTTTAGGTCGAATAAAATCGAAAAATTAAGAGTCCTGTAAGTCAAATTTTCCTTAAGCTTCACATAAAAGCCAGCCCTTCTCCCACCCCACATTTCCACAGCTGTGCCTGAATTATTCACAGCAGCCCCACTTTTCTGACCTACATCACAGTCCAGACAGCAGCTAAAAGCAATCGCATACGGTGTAAAAGGAAGACATTGCTATCCACCGACATTTTTCCTAAACTATTAATCTTCTGATGTTTGGTGCAAGAAGAGTCTTTAACCAAAACAAAGATGGCTACCCTGTGTCACGCCAATGCAGTTGAAAGAGGTGCTTTGACTGTTCTGTCTATGTTTTACTGTTATTATGCTGCTATGTTATTTTTTGAAATAGTTGCTACAAAATAAACAAATCAAAATCTCAGATACACCTAATTTGATAGATTAATGTTTATTAAAATTACCTTGAAGAAGAATCCTCGGCAGAGCTTTTGCTCATCATTCAAATTCTCAGTACTCTCTTGTTCCAGCTCCAAATCATCATCTATTGTCAGATCCTCTAGTGACTTCACAACTGACAGAGGAACCTCAATCAGACTGATTTTGGCCTGGCTGGAGGGTTCTGGCTTTGAAGGTATCTCTGTAGGTGCCACTGTGAAGGTCTCTACCACCGGGTGGGCCAGAACCTCTGGGTATGAAGACTCTATGGTTGGTTTCAGATTAATAAATGAATCCTGAACTCTCTGGCTCATGGGGTCTGAGCTCTCTTCATAGGTATGGGCTTCCATTTCCTGGGTTGGGAAGTTTGAATCTTCTTCACCTTGTTCTCTCTGCAAGTTAGTGGAAGTGTAAGACGAGCTGGCAGCACAAATACTTGTGGGTTCATTCTTGGGGGAAAGGACTGCATCTGTTTCCTGGATGGTATCCCCGTCTTGTTCTATTGTTTCTGGACCGGCCGCTGCTGGCTTCTCCCCCATGTAAATAAAGGAGCTCATCAAAGGTTGGCAAGGAGAAAACCTGCGCAGCCTTGGGATGCTGTCGACTGACTGCGGGGCTGTCAGGACGCGGCTGTACGGCGCCACCTTCAGCTCAGTAGGCCGAGCGGTGCGAGGATTGCGTGAGTGGAAGGAAGCAGATTTACGTTTGATGTTGGTTGGAGACCGATGGGTGGAACGAGGCGAGTCGGCAGGAGAGGAAGGTCCAGAAGAGCGAGTAACAGCTCGAGGGTGTTTCTGTGGGGAGGGGTTTGTATGAGGAGGGGGGATGACCCATGCTTGCTGATGTTGTTGTTCCCTCATGGCCATGATCACTTCCTGCTGCTGCGCTAAGCGTTGCATCTCAGCCTGGAGGAATGCTAAAGAATGGTTGAGCTTTTCGATAGAACGCGTATACTCTGAGAGATCAGCTTCGGTTACCTGAGCGTGGCTTTGGCCACCTTCATCCCCTGTGCCTGGTGTCTTCTGCCAACAAGAGGGGGTGCTGCTTTGTTCTGCTCCATCAGGTGTATCTGTCTTGCTCCTGCCAAATTTAAACGATGGACTTGCGCCTGTAGACTTTCCCTCTCCATTTGCTTGTCCGCCTGCATCACCACTAGCGGCTCCATCCCCCTTCCTCTTCACCATGTTTAGGAATGCCGAGTGGCCCATCTTCTGCCGGTGCCTTGTAAAAGCTGCCTCCACTTTCTTTTTCTGAGCTTCAATGGCCTTCCGTTTCTCCTCAAGCCGTATCCTCAGCTGCACCATCTCTGTAGCCATGACCTGTGCAGGGTCATTGGGGGGAAGCTGGACAGACGCAGGTGTTGCCGGAGTAGTAACTGCTGACGTTGATTGTTGACGGATGGGGCTGTGCTCAGGTGTAGGTGCCCAGGAGACTGACAGTGGGAGCGCAAACTCTGAGCCCTCTGGAGTGGTCTTCATTGAGCTGCTGCTGCCTCTGCCTGAATCTAGTGCCGATGGACTGAGCTTCCTCATCTTCTGCTCAGCAAAGCTGGTCATCTTCACTGAAGGGGATTTACTCTGATTACTTGGACAGGGGCTTGGGGTGTCTGCATCTAGATCCATATTTACAGAGCAGTCCTTCAAAGAAGAATCTTCATCTAACATGTCTTCTGTCCGGATGTGGATTCCAGTGTCTACCTCAGCAGTGTCTGTGGTGCTCAAAGGTTCTTTGGAATCCGATTCTGACACAAGGTCAGAGCCTACAGTAACATCCCTGGCATCCTGGTTGTGTAGGAAGAAGCCATTATTGATGCCTTCAAAAGGTGGCCTAGATGGGCTGTGGATGATTTGAAGAGCTTCCTCCATAGAAGGAGCTGATGCCATTCCCTGTCCATTGGGGAAGGCTTGCCCACAAGGCTCTATTCCTGCAAGGCTGTCAGGGCAGCCTTCCTCCTGAATACCAATGCTCTGACAAATAACTGGTTGAAACGACAGGTTCCTCTTCATTCCCCGAGGCATGTGTTGAACCTTAAAACCAAAACCATCATCAGTGCTGATAGATCGAACCATTCCATGTGTAGAGGAAGGTGCAACAGGATCAGAATCCTCTTTGTCAAAGGGGATGTCAAATGACACTCCATAAGGCCCAGACCTTAAATAAGACAAAAAGGACAAAAAAACAAACAAGTAACTAGATAAATCTGCAGGTAGGTCATTAGTAGACAAACTAATTGATAGACCAGAAAGACCACGTCTCTGGTTGAATAGATATCGCAGATGCTGACCTTTTTTCTTTAGGCCATGTGCCGATGTTACCATCAACAAAGGACATGGAGCTTGACCTCTTGATCTCTCCTGAGTTACACAAATAACCAAAAATAAATAAGAAAACCCCCCCAAACAAAATCACCAGGTAACACAGCCAGTAGAAATGATATTTACCTGTATTACGAGGCTGGGGTCGAAGGGGTAAACTATAAATTTACAGAAGTAAGAAGGCGTGTCATTTTTTTTGGTTATTCTTAAGTGTAATCTTACGAGACAGTAAAATGTTACATAACATTGCTGGGCTGGTTTACCTGGGTCTTTCAGGACTTGGAGGTCTTTCCATAAAACTTCTCTTGGTAGCTTTGGAGATTGCAATGAATGGCATATTTTTCAATATGGATGAAGGTTCTGGAGGGGCAGAGCAGAGACAAAGATTGCTTTAAAGATGCAAATTAATAGTGTACTATTCCCTATTAAAATTCATAGTTTTTGGGGGAAACCTATATGTATATATTAACACAGTTTTTCTATAAAAATATTTACAAACATATATAATGTACTTACCAGGGCCTTCATTGCCAAGCTGTCTTGGCTTTACAAAAGAGGGCTTCACCACCTCGAACCACCAAAACAACTCTGCCACAAACACCAGGTAGTTATTCTTAAAAGAAACCAAAAATGAATATTAACCCTAGAGGAATAAACCATATTTAATAGCTCTGATCTACGGATTCTCTAAAAAAACTAACATGAATACTTTCAAAAAGTCAACTTCAACTAAACTGCAACTGCAATGCACATATTCCCCCATCGAGTGTCACTGTGGCCTCCAAGAGAAGCTGCACTGATTGAATTTTAATCAAGTTTGTTCCTCTTATTCCAAGGGTTTCATTTATGGTAGATCATTTACTGAGGCATTCCTTTCAGTAGGTTAAAATCAATTCTAAGGATTGATACAGTAATTATTTCACTGATAAAGACAGTATTGGAGACAGTATTAGGCAAGTGTTAACTACAAAAATACAAAAATTTATCTTTTTTGTTTTTATGTTTTCTTTAACACCGTGAAATCAAACACTTTACCTACTTCACAATGGGAAAGCTGTTGATTTTTTTATACTGCTGTGTCAAGACATGACCTGTTTAAATCAGGTCAACATACAGTAGGAGGTAGAGCTGATAGATTTCCCTGCTCTCCATAAAGATATATCATAATAACACAGCAAATGTGTAATAAATGCTGCAAATATGAGTATACTTTTAGAGATACTCTGAAAACTGAAAAAAAAAAAAAAAAACTTATGTAAAATTTGGAATAAATTCAACAGAGAAAAACTCAGCAGCTTCTTGTTTTTTCTGAAAATGTATTTTGAGGTTTGTTAAATGAAGTACTCTTAACATCAATATGCAGCATGTTAGCTGTGAAGCAGGAGTGACCTTGAGGGAACACACCCTCTAACCACCCCTCAATCTATGGTCCCCAGACAAAGGCAGTGATGCAGAACTCAGTGCCAAAGATACCTGATTCACTTCATCAGCAACATTTTGCTCGGCTAAGCAAAAACCAACACTTGCACAACTCATACATTTAACTTAAAAAAAAATAACAACCCTTAACTGAAGGCTAAAAGCCCACCGGGAGGTATAGAGGCAATTAACACCACTGATACTGTGGCTGGTACTGCAGCATTTTAAGGCTTTTCTTCCTCTGATCCCACGTGCTCCTGCACAGAACTACAAAATCAGTCCAATGTAGCTGATGAACGTAAAACGACACACTGTTGTTAAAAAGCACAAATAAAACTTCCTTTTTTACATAACATTATCCCTTTAAAATTCTACACATACATTCTAGTTTACCTTTGAATATGTTCAGCTTGCAAAACATCCCTTAAGGCTTTGATGAATAGGAAAAAAAAAAAGCAAACTGTAGAAGAATGATGGCGAGATCTCCATAAATCCAAACTGCTCAGGCCTTGTTTTCTTTCTCCATCTGTTCCCCTGTCTTTCTACCGCAAACATACCAGGTGTGAGTGCCGTAGAGTAACACCACCCTTAAGCAGACATGCATGCACACAGAGCACCCACTGCCCCACCTATCTCCCCATTGTTCGGCTCTGATACTTCTGGCGCTGCATGGTTTGCAAAAGCGGCCGGATTTGGCTGTTTGGAGATTTAAGTGTTCAGCTCTCAATCTGACTGGTGATTAATGAGATTTCTAGTTGAAAGGAGTAGGTTGGGTGGGGTTGGAAGCTAATCCACTCTGCAGGAATGGACATGTCCATATACCACACAACACACACCTCCAATATAATAATGAGAACACCAAAGGCACTTGTAGTGTGTGTTGGCTGAAGCCAATAAAAAAAGTCAATAGCAGGTCACTCTGACACACCCTACAAATGATGTCATTGAGGTCTATAGGAGACAAGGACGGGCACAGACAATTCAGGGGGATTTAATTCAGACTAAGAGTAGGATCAAATGTTGATTAAAGGATGTGGGTCCAGCAGGCAGACAGACAGAATCACACAAATGTGGAAAACCCACTCTTTCGTTTCCTGCCAAGTTTATTGAGCTTCTGTCAGTTCCCGAAGGAAAAAAGGCAGATATTACAATTTCAGACAAAGACTTCAGAATTTCATGTTAGCTGACAAGGCAGTGACTTCAAAGAGGAAAAGATTATTTAGTTGTTGGTGTCGTTGAACTGGCTTTCTGCAAAGATTAGACAAAAATTATGAATGTTATTGTTTTTAGTATAAGTGTAAATTGTTGGCGTCATTCATTCTTTACAGCCCACCCATGGATCTGAGGTCAGCTGACCAGCTGCCGCTCTCTGTTTTAACCAGCCATTTGTGGCTCAGTTACTGTTAGGATCTATTTTTTCTCCAAGGTTTCTTTTGTCCTAATTCTAAGTAAAAAGGTAATTTATTCTAACATTTCTTTTAGATTCATTCTATCTAATATTAATTTTAACTGACTGATTTGTTAATTCCTAATCTTGTAAAAACTATTATTGTGAAGCACTTTGGATCTACAGTTTCTTTTTTTTTCTAGAAATATATAAATAAAGCAGCTTGTTTTACTGATCTTTGCATCCTTTACCCATTTTGGAGACCTGATCTAATTATCACTCAGGTCTGCAACAAATGTGCTTTTAATCAAAGCTGTTTCTAATTTAATTCTTTACTTTTCATGCAAAACCTTTAGTTCAGACATGTTGAACAACATCTCACTTCTCTGGACATTATTTGTAATTTAGGTGTGCTTAGATTTAATTCAATGCACACCGTCTCAAGAGGAGAGGGATTGACATGATTTATGTAGCCAAGCCCATTACCTAAGGATAGCTCTTAGTAATGTACTTAATAAATGCCTTTGTGGGGGCTGGGCTTTAAATGCAAACACATTGTGTCTGTGGTTGACTGAAAGTGGATTGGACACCTTTTAAGAAACATGCTGCAGTGCAAATGAGGTGAATAAAGATGATGATTATATTGTTGAATGTTTAATATTTGCCCTTAAAATTACTTTTTGCTAACAAAATCATCCTAAATATTACTCCTCTTCAGTTCCTTCCCTTATCTTTCCAATTGCTTCAAAGTATTGTTACTTATGTCCCATTTCGTATTTCTTCTGCATCAACACCTCCCTCCCCTCTATAATAAGGTCCTTATTAGCGTGACAGGCTGCAGCACAGCCACTGATGGGAGCCTGCCTGGAAATCTGGGTCAAGGTTACAGAATCTGACTCGTTCTCTTTACATTCTAGCTTTACTGCTCCTTTCAGGCAGTAACTGTGCCTCTCTGGTACAGTTTTATGCCTGCAGAAATCAGCGTCAGCAAAAATAAAAATAAAATGCTGCTGGCTGGACACACAGAACTCAGTCTTTTGTCTTTATTTGACTCCCTTTGACAGCAATAAGCAGCAGTTTGGTACAACTTCAATTCAGAAATACTTTATTGCTCCCAAAGGGAAATTAAATGTTATTGTAACTCATATGCTTTTTTTTTCAATCAGTTGTTCTTGTTAACAGCTGTGGGCAGGAATGATCATGTGATGACCTTCCTTCAGCTTTAAACTGATATAATGTTGTTACACACTCAGATTATAAAATCAGCTTTAACCTTTGCACCTCCACATAAACCCAAGATCTACTGTCTTCTGAGCTCAAAAATTAAAAGCTTAGTTTTAAGTTTTAAAATGCAACATCTTCATAGCCTGTGGTAGAAATCAACAGAAAAGTGTATGCTGCTATGAAATGAAATAATACCGATATAATTTTTTATATTTTTTTAACCTATTATAACAGCATACATTTAATTAGTTCTTGTGACATTATACTGTAAAAACACCTTACAAAACATTACAGCTGCTGGTGTTTACTAGTAGGTATATCTCTGTCAACTTTGCACATCTCTAGATGGAAATGGTAGCCCTTTCCCTCTTTGCAAAATACCTCAAGCTTAGGCCCCGTCCACACGAAGTCAAAACGAACACGAAAAGCTACTATTTTCCAGAACGTTTGTCGTAAAGACGGAGACGTAAAATAAATGTGATCGTCCACACGAATGCATGAAAACGCTGCAAAATGTATGCCAGGCCTATAAGTGGCGCTGTGGTGCCAAAGCAAAAATAGGCAACGAAATGTTGGGCATGCACACTAGTATTTATACATGGTTGCCCTGCGGGTCCATTTTCGTGGTTTAGTCAGATTCAGGTGCTGAACTATGTCGTCGGGTTTCTCAGTCGGGTTTAGTTGAAAAGTGCCTGGTTCTTTCAAGCACACTATAACCCCATTTACACTACCCTCTGTAAACCAATCCGTGCCGAGGTCGGAACGAGCTTGGATCAGTAAACCGTACCGAGTTCTGTTACTTACGACAATTTACGCACCATGCTTGCACGGTTCCTCATCTCCTAGTGGCGATCTACGGTACTACTGCTCTCTAGAGGTAAACAAGCAAACTGACATGGCGGCGTCCGTAACATTCAGGAAGTTATGTTTTGTTATAATTGTGATATTTTGTTGCTTGCAGACAGTCAGGCGAAGAAGGCAGACTTTGGTGAATTTACTTGACAGAACGATAGTCTAATCAGGGCTTAAAGACGCAGGAAACAACAACGAATGTTGAGGGTTATCACACTGCTAGGCAGAATCATCACTGGAAATTGCGTGGCACGGTAGGGAAGCCAGTATTTTCAAGAATGTGTGAAATTTCATGATTCCAGAGGCTGACTGTAAGGAGGTGATGCTGACTGCTCATGCGCTTTGTTATCTGAGAACCAAGCCTGAACTGAACTGATTGAGCCCTACTGATGAACTAGTACCAGTTTAGCATGGTTCTGTTGTGTCTGAAATAGTCTGGTTCAGTTTTGCGTCCCATTTACACTCAAAAGTTATCTCGGTTACCGTGCTTGGACTGATCTCAGCATGGTTTCAAAAGGGTAGTTTAAATGGGGCTTAACTTTCAAGTCCTTTTCGGCCAGAGAGAGAGAAGGAGACTGTCCTGTTTTTAGTCCCACCAAATCTACTTAGGCCATTTTCCTGGCCTTGAAAGATTCAAAAGAAGAGCTCTAAAATGAGTAGGCAAATTGAGTGCACTAAAAGCAAGATATGGTCCAAAGACAAAGAGAGGAGAATCATAATAATAATTTGACAATTAGTATTCATAGCTCACTTTTACCTTTAAACCTAAGTCAAAGAAAAAAGTATAAAGGAAAAAAGCTAAATATAAAAAAGTATTTAAAATGTGTGTTGTAAATATTCTTTTTTTAAAAAAAAAATGCTGCAATATTTAAATTAAGTCAGCGTCATTTTCATTTTGGTTAAACCTACAAATACATTTGTATTAACGTTACTAAAATATGGTTTGTGTATCTTCTTATTCACATTAACAGCTGAAAAACAGCATGGTTCTGATATCTAAGTCAAAAAGAGGTTTGTCCTTTTAATGACCTGTACTCTGTCTCTGATAAAAGGTACCACATGACATGCATGTATCTGAAGACACATTTAGATGGCAGCAAGACAAAACCAGACTCATCCATCAAATCCCACAGCAGCACGCTGCTGATGCAGCCCTCTGATGGACGCCACAAGAACAAAAACACACACACTGGAAAAGTTGTTATTAAGAAAGAATTTGGTTTTCTGTTCTGTGATGTTTTTCTGATGTTGTGGTATTTCTGTGCTCCAGGAACCATTGTTGCAGATTGATGGAAAGAATTGTATGCAGCAGCAAAATATGTTAGAGCAATTACAACTTCAAACTAAAATGTTGGTAAAAAAAAAAAGCATCAGTCAGAGAAAAGGGTATTTTTTCTGTTGCTGCTAATAAATTATTAAATTCTAAAGTGTTTTAAATATGATAAATGAAATATACAATTTAATATTGAGACCAAAAAAGATAATCAGAGGTAAAAAGACTACTTTTATACTATTTTAGCCTTTACTTTTTATATGTGTGCTATTAACGAAGGAGAAAGAAAAGTAGGGCAGAGAGTCAGATTAGGGAAAAAAGAGCAGTTTCTAGGACAGATCAGCTTCAGCATTTTCTCGCATAACAAGAAGTTTACACTAATCTACATAAACAAGGTAACTTTATGAATACATTAGAGAAGTATCACCAAGATAAAAAAAAAAAGTAGTGTTTTTTGGAGAGACAAATGCAAACCAAACACGACAAACACCAGAAGAAAAGCAACCCTCAAAGCCTTAAAGCAACATTAAATGATAGACCCAGGGAATGGATCACGAACGGAAGTAGGTCATAAAATAGGGTAAGGAAGACAAAGTTAAAGCGAATAAAGTAAGAGAAAATAGGAAAGCAGTACAAGCACACAGCAGCAGTGGAATCTGTACAGAGTTCTCCAAGTTTGTGGTTTGAACGGAACGATTTTCACGAGAGGGTTTTTCCACAGCATGACTCACTACACTCGCCTACAATCCTGCTTTTTTCCAGCCTTTCTCACTTCATACAAATACACCATATGCATCTCTTGTGCCAAACTGTAATATGAATTAAAAACATCTTAACAGTACTTAACAGCTGCAAGAGTTAGTTTGTGCAGAAACACAGAAAATAGAATGGACATGATCACATTTTCCATAACAACTTCAGCGTAATTAAACTAAATTATTAACTATCTTACTCAACCTGAAAATGTGAAAATAAAAACTTAAGCCTTTTGTTTTGCTTCAATGATAAATGTATGCAGATTGATGCTGTACCTTGATGGTGGAGGAGGCGTAGAGCATGTCCTCCAGGCTGAAGTGACAGCAGCTGCTCAGGTTGTCTTTGCAGAAGTCCTGTATGAGCTGCAGGTTGTAGAGACGGTCAGCCAGACTCATACTCTCCTTCAAGCACATGTCTAAGAGGGCAAAGAGAGCCATCAGCTGTCAGAGAGAGCCTGATGATGCAGGTTTTTGTTTTTACTGCACTGATAGATGAACAATGTCTATTGTTTTTTTCTCCCAGACACAGCTGAGTTGATTGTTGTAAACATTTGTGAGAGTCTTAAATAATAAGACTTTGGGCTTAAGTAATGGGTGGAGCTGTGACCTGATTTATTCAAGAGAAAACAAAGTCTGAATGAGCCTTTGCCCTTTGATTCTCTTTCAGATTAGGAAATGACTGTTTACACACAGAAGATAAAGTACTTCATCCTTCAATTCAATGCTAAATGATCTAATGCTGTCATAGCATCTTCATTTGCAAAAGACCTTTAGTCCGTATACCTCTTCTTTTTACGAACAAAAGAATTCAAAATGTGTTCACTGAAATAGGGGGGAGTCGCGAGCTGTTAAAATAAATTATCTTGCTGCAGACAATCAAGCTTCTTGTTTTTTTTCCTGTCATAAAACCCAACACTTGCAGACTGTCTCCCTCTCGCCTCCTTACCGTCCAGTGACAGCAGCTGAGGGCAGTAGAAATGCAGCAGTGCGCCCAGAGCTGAGCCATCTGTGCTGTCCTTAAGCAGGTTGTCCACTGGAGGGATCCATGGAGCCGGCTGTGTGGAGGCCTGCTCTTTCCTATAGCGAGCCTGAACGATATACACACAGATATAAACCCACGTCTGCTGCAGTGAAGTATCATGCTTAGATTTGAGATAGGTTAAACCCAGACTAAACTTGTTGTTTCTGTTTTTCACACATTAAATAGGAGACAAAGTAAGGCACAATTAATGGAGCGACCTGCTCAACAGGGGGACTTTTATTAGATCTTTAAAGAAGTAGCAGAAATTAGAGAGAACTGTGTGAATTTACAGGATGTATTCATGCATGAGGCTAATTAGATTGCTGTGGAGATAGAGTGGGAAATTGTTCTGAGAGCAAAATAGGAAAACCAAAAGAGAGCACAGCTGTTTTTTAAATGACTTTTACAGCAGTATTTTGTCAACCTAATATTTTGACCCTGTGAAATGAATAAAACACATCAGTGCTTCTCTTTTTCCCCTCAACTGTCTTTAACCATATTGATTTAAAACACTACAAAAGTCTAGAACTGCACTCATGGGAACACTTAGCAGTTCTCCAATATATCATATACAGAAGGTAAAAACGATGTGAGAAAATAAATCCAACATTGTCAGATGCAATCAACAAAATTAGGCTTAGCTGATTTTACCTAACATAGAACAATGTACAGCAGAATCTAAAGGAACTTCAATAACAATCAGAATATTTATGTCATCCATCTCATAAGCACAAAATCACAATTACATGTTAATAAGAAGAATGAAAGAAATTCTACATAAATAAAAGGGCTGAATAGATCAAAAAACCAGACTTTTAAATACATTATATAAAAACACAGATGTTTTCTGCATATTCGGTTATTAAATCTAAATAACCTTTGCTATTTTAGTTCTGTTAGAATTACTAATGTTATATACTTTTTCCTACATGCCAGAATAATGAGAGAAGGATTATTTGTGACAATAAATTTTTACTTTCTTTATATTCAGAAGTTTACATACAATAAGATCATGATGCCTTAAACGGTTTGGGAACGCCCAGTAGATGATGTCATGTCTTTGGACGCCTCTGATAGGTTTATTGACGACATTTAGGCAGCTCTGAGACACAGCTGAGGATGTTTTATAGGCTCACCTAAAATGATTTGCCCCTTTGTGTAACATTATGGGGAAAGATAAAAAATAAAAATAAAAAATTCAGCCAAGATATCAGGAGATGAACTGAGGACATCCACAAGTCTAGTTTATCATTAGGTGCAATTTCTAAATGCCGGACTGTTCAACCGTCATACCGCTCACAAAAGTGATGGGCTTTGGGTCCCAGAGATGAATGTGCTTTGGTCTTATATTTGAACCAACTCAAGAAAAAAAGCAAGGGAGCTGGAAAGAGTTTGTCTGCAGTGAAAGGGGTAATGCAGTGTAATTAGGTGCCAGAAAGAAGCCAATACTTCAAAAAAGACTAATTAAAGCCAGGTTACAGGTTACAAGGGGACTGCTAAGAAAGGAAAGGTTTAGTGTGATTCTATGTCTGACAATGAGAAAAAAAGATTTTTCATAGAGTGTATTTAAACTTCTGGTTTCAACTCCCTATACTAGTAAAATTGTTATTGCAATATGAATGAATGTAGTTTTGTTTTGAAGAAGAGACAAAGAGCCATTCAATGACATCATGTGTGCTCATATTACATTTGACCATTTTCCATGCTTTTCATTGTTTTTGGAACTTAAATGTGTGGTCATAGTGTTTAGTTGAAAAAAACAAAAAAACAAGATCCTATGTTTACAAAGTGTACTGAGCTTATAAAAGAAAAAAATATTTTGATAGCAAATAATAGCATCATATTAAAATCATAATTGGATGTTTCTCTAATACTGTGTATATACCCTAGTGGGAGGGTAAAATAAATCACTATGAACACACAGATGAAAAAGCCAGCAGTGATAAGGGGACTTACAGGCACAAGCTTCATGTACCACTTGGTTGGAGACTCCAGCAGCAAAGCAGAGAAAAGGGGAAACAGTAAAGAAATGGGTTTTAGACAGATTAGTAAGTAATGCGATTAGTAACACAAGGAACAACATGACAACACTGACACCAAAGTAAAGAGAAAAAGCAAATTTTTTTCTGTTTCCTAAAGGCAACACACTCATCTCAGTAAACAGCACAGTTTAGTTTACCTTATGTTTCATTCTAAAAGATTTTGGAATCTGGCTTACAATGAAAACACTGTCTGTTTGCCATGTGGAAACAGCAAAAATTTAATAAATTGGGATTCTGTGGGATGTGCTTCAAGGAAAAGAGGGAAGGACAAATGGTTTTTCCTCTCCTCAAACAACTTTAGCCGCTTTGGTCTTACTAAAGACTATTTTGGAAACTCGATTGTTAATCATTATGCGCAATTTTATGTAATTACATCAGCCATTTTAAGCCTGAGATAATGCATTTAAATTTACACAGAGGACTAAATGTCAAAGGATCCCTTTGAGGAGAAGACTGCGCTCTGAATTTAACAACCAGGTATTTTTTTCATGCCAGTTTCTACAGATTCTCCCTAAAATACCATAATGTATGTGAATGTTTCAAATGCTCACTGTCAAGTTCATAAAAATCTGTCACGAAGAAAGAAAATCCAAATAACATTTCCAATGTTTGCATGTCAGAAGCTGTCAGCGATCCTCTGACTGTGTAAGCTGCTTCCAGAGGAGGCTTGTCACAGTTAAAAGCTAATTCCCACATTGATTATGGCCGAAATCTTGGTGTCATGATGGATAAAGGTAGTTACTAAGTCAGTCTTTTATCACCTGAAAACATCTCCAGGATTAAAGGTCTAATGTCCAAACAGGATCTAGAAAATCTCATTCATGCATTGATCTTTACTAGAATTGATAACTGCAACAGTGTCTTGATAGGTTTGCCTAAAAAGTCCATTAGAAAGCTGCAGCTGATCCAAAACACTGCTGCCTATGTTCTCACTATAACAAAGAAAGTAGAACACAGCCTAGTTCCGAAGTCCTTACACCTGCTCCCTGTAGCTCAGTGAATAGACTTTATAATCCTTCTGTTAGTCTCTAAATCACTGAATGGATCAGTACCTTAATACATAACAGATTTGTTGTCAGAATATCAACCTCCCAGACCACTCAGGTCTTCTAGTTCCCGTCTACTCAGTTCATCCAGAACTGGAACCAAACACGGAGAAGTAGTATTTAGGTCCTATGCTCCACTTACGTATCTGGACAAAAACTTTCAGAAGACTGTAATAGTGCTGAGGGCCTGAGTTCTTTTAAGTTAAAGTTAAAAACCTATTTGTTTAGAGCTGCCTCTGACCGTTGAAGTTAATCTGTTGAAGTTAAACTGGGGTATTATTAGTTTATGATTGTGGTCCAACTGTTTCATTTATTTTACTCATGTTTTTATCTTTATTTGCTTTTATCCTGTTTTTATTTTTCTTCTAATTTACATTTATACAATCCTTACTGATATCCAATTTTGACAAAACTGAAAACAAGGAATGCATCAAAAACATAAGATATGGTGACGCGTTTGTGGACAGAAAACAGAGGTTGATTTCAGTTTTGAGGAAGTTAAAGGACACATTGGTCTATATTTTACCTGCTGATTACTTGCTTTAAGTCAATAAGTTGGAAAGCACTGCGCTCCTTCTTTCATACTGAGCAAATATGATATAAGGAGAAGGATTTTTGTTCATTAAAATGTTGCTATCACATGGAGTTATGGTAGGATGACAGAATTAGCTTCATAATTTAGATGATTTATGACAAAAAACTAACAAACAAAAAACACAAAACACATGTCAGCTCATTATCATCAGCTCATTAGAGTCTGCAGACACATATTGGTTCATTTGAATGTATTCAAATGAAGCATCCGCTGAGTTTGACTTTCAGGGGATTTTTAAACTGGGCCAAAGTCTGCCATAAGCAAGAAGATCACAAGGACACAATGACAAAATGTACAGAAACATACATAGCATTTAGGGCTAGCAGCCCAGAGGTTCATGCTGATGCAGAGAGAGGTCATCTGTTCAGCTTGTGGGCTAAACTAGAGGATTCAATTCCCAAAAACGAGCATAAGACAAGATAATTTCAGACAGGGTTAGCATATACAACAATAGGGTCAATGTTTAGTGATCAGTATAGACCTTGGTACAGTGGTATGAAAAAAGCCCATCTTAATAGGAGATACAGTATGATAACACCATTTGGTTCTATTTCATGAGTTTGAGCATGTGTGCCTTCCTGTATGTTTGTGAAGGATAGCTGAGGCATGCAGTGCTGCGTCTGCATACTGACTAGTCAGATCATCGTCAAACACTGTGCAGCCTAGAGAAAAGGGAAGAGCAGTTCTCCTTCTCTGCAGCTCAAAACAAGGCGGCTGAGCTGTCAGTTTAATTTAAGATGTGCTTTTAGCGTCGTTAAAACAAAGCAAAGCTGATGGTGTTAAGTTAGTGAGTTGTATGATATAACAGAGAGTAGGGCAAAAAAAGAATGGTTAATTTTTTTTTTTTGGAGGAAAAAGAAACGGAGAGGACACATGAGAACTAATGTCACTGATAAATATAATATTTTATCTCAGCCACTGAACACAATTCAGGTGTTGGTGACAAAGTGGAAGCCATTACACCATTTAAAAACCAGAGAATGGCTATGTCAGTCCTTTCCTCAAAAGTGCTGGTGGTGCGCATTTAAGTGCATGGAGGGGAGACGGCGAGACGGACCATAAAGGATAAACATGAAGGTGATTCCAAGAGTGACATCATTCACCTCATCTTCCATTTTCTTTTTCTTATGAACTCTTTGTCTAATGTTTTTAAATTTTCTAATCATCACTCCTACATTCCTACATAATAATATAAGCACCATGCATGCTTAAACTCAATGCAGATATGATACAGAGACTAATAATCTATTTTTATTGCAAGAGGATAATAAATTGTTATAATAAAGATGCAATAAAAGCAGTAACCTACCACATCATTCATTGGAAGAGTCTAAACCTTACATAGAGGAGAATTTGGACTGAATTTACAGGTGATTGGTCAATGATACACCTACCAAAGTGAAAGTTGGTATTTTACTACAATAAATATCAAATGAAATATATAAAAAAAAATTTCTTCCTGACAACAAGTGAAATGTAATCAGAAAAAAAGGAAGTAAAACAATTATATCAATTGACTATACACACTCACACTCTCTCGCTTTGCCTTATGTAGGGGTTATTTTAGGATTAGTGCATAGTAAGGGTTGAAAATGACAGAAAATCACTTTGTTTCAACACATGGTCCTCACTATATATAGCAAGACGAGAGTGAATGTGGATATTCTCTAATTTATCATTTATCTGTCAGATATTTATTGCATAAACAGTGAATCTAATCCAATGCTTAGCCATACCAGACAGAGATCTTTTTTTCCAGGTGGCTGGTGAGTTTAAGCCGCTTCACACAGTAGATACAACTTGTCTGAGATACTGTAGTAACACAGACGGCTGGGAAAAGTAAGTGCCAGTCAAAGAGACATGCTGTTTTAAATCCATTACTTGGAGCAAAGGATTTTACTTTGCTCAATTGAATCTGTCCATCAAACTGTTTACAGTATATGTAGTGTGTGGAGTGTTGCAGCTGGATTAGGAAGTCAAAGGAAAACACCCACCCGAGGACCCCCAGTCTGCTCAGGACTCTGTGTCTCCTTCTTCTGCTCCTGAGTAACAATGTCTTTTAGATACTCATTTACCTAGAGAAAGAGGGAAAAAAATATTATTTTAATACAAAACAAGATTCTTCAGAGGGAAAAAGAGCGGCCCAAAGGAATCTAATAATTCAATAAAGTTAAAAAAGTAATGTTTTTTGACTTTAAAATGTAAAGTTTTACAATTTTGTTCTGTTTTAATTTAAAAAAAGGCAAAGTTTTTTGGAAGGGAAGCAAATTCAAACAGAGAGACATATGCCTGTGTAGGACACATATGGTAGAGCCCAACCACACCTCCTTTAAGCCGTTTTCTTCTCTGAGTGTGTTTGAAGCCTAAATCTGGAAGCAGTCCAAGACTTCAGCAAAGAGAATGTAAACAGAGTGGCTTCTGCTTTGCTGTGTCTGCTAACCATCTGTGCAAATGGGCCATCAAAAGCAACCTAGAACATGTTATTAAATTGATGGATGGATAGACAGACGGACAATTGGATGAAGTCGTCAAAGTTTTTATCTCCTGAGGTTATGTTTGTTGTCACATCATACAAAATGACTGCAAATAGAATGTTGCATTTATGCTATCAATACCCAGTGATGTTTGAGAGGACTTTTAATGCTTCTGTTTATCCCACACAGATAAGCAGAGTTTTCTGTTGAACTATCTTTTTCCATCTTAATCTCATTAACAGAGACTGTAACAAATGTTACACAAGTTTCAGTTTAAACAAATATAGATATAGCAAATGAAGGGGGTGGCAATGCATGTACTTCACGAGATCTTAAAACTAGGCACTAAAGACGAAAACGCAAATATACTGGTCAAGAATATCGGCCAGCTGATGTATCTCTAGTTCAAAGTAAAATGCTTTGTTAGTTTTAGCAACTGAGGTGTTATGGCAAAATGGGACAACAGTTGTTTTGGTATTTTTACATCTGTAGAGCCTTCTTTTTCGTATTCTTGTTGTCCTCTACATAGTTAGTTGTGGCAAAATGCAAGTGGGACCTGTTGTTTGACTTTGCTTTTACATGGACCAGATATTGGTTATGTTATCAACAAATTCTCCCACCTGAGCTGTGAATCTCTGCAGCTCCTCCAGAGGTAACATGGCTTCTAGGTTACTCCTCTCAAGCTGCTTTCCCACTGAAAACCTGGGTTTTTCAAAACCGAGATGACCCGCTGACATATCGGCTTTTGGCTCTTTTTCCATTTGACTGAAAAGCCAAGTCTAACCCCCTACTGGCAAGCTGCGTGGCCACTGTCCACCACCACCGTGTGACTGATGACAGCATCACGCTGGCTGAGCTGATGTCGACAATCAACAAAGCAGAACTCTTCATCACTGGTCCCAAATACTTCAGCCTCACTAATGACGGTCACAATGTTTCCCTGTCCTGCTCCGCTGTAACCTAGGCATCACCATAGACTCTTCCCTGAGATATCCGCCAAATCACTGAAACATCTTTCTTCAGCAACATCACCTGCCTCCACACATCCCTCTCCCAGTCTGCAGCTGAAATCTTTAAGCACGCCTAAATCACCCCCAGTCTCGACAAATGTGGTCTTCCCTTCACTCATCTCCAAAAATAAAAATATTTACAGAACTCTGCTGCTCGCCTATTCACCAGCATCCAGTCCAGATATCCTAACCTCGAAATGTTCTCAAAGAGCATCACTGACCCCCTGTCCAATACTGCATTCAGTACAAGCTTTTTCTTTTCACCTATCAGTCTCTTCATAATATTTGCCCTCCATATCTGGCTGACCTAAAACCCCCGTGCCCCTCCTGGTCCCTCCACTCTTCAGGCTCCAACCTTCTCACACCAAATACGAGCCATAGGCCACCCACATGGGACCAAAGCACTTACACAAACAACACAACAACGACAGGTGCCAGGAAAGGAGTAATAGAGGATCAAGCCTTCCCCCAGGCCCAGGCAGCCTCAAGTCTTGGTATTTAGCCGTCAAGGATAAAAAAAACACATTGTTCATCTTTTAGTCATCCAGATGGCAATATATTTTCTGTGGACAATCGTTATACGGTATTTTAAGGATACTAAAGATGGTGTGATGTCACTAGATCTTGAGAGATTACAGTTATTCTTGAAATATATAATCACTATAACAAACCTTGTTAATCCAGGTGGTCACTGCGTCCTCCGCATCATATGGTCGTTCCTCCTCAAACTTGCAGGATGAGTATTGATGAATGCAGGTCAGTACCTTTTCCATGCTCACAGTCTCGACAGTGTAGGCCATCATTAGGGTGTCAATCATAGCCAAGTGGGCTCCCTGGGAGAAACAAACAATGGTGCAACAGTTAAAAGGTGAAACCCAACAGCTAGAGAGCAGATTGGGTTTATCTGCGTTATTGGTGGGCTTTCTTAGAGTTGGACTTTCTGACCTGTGTTCAAATTGCTCCCAGGTATTTAGGTAGTAAATACTGACATTATCCTTTATTGGTGCAATTCATTATTTGCTTCTTATTAAATTGGATATCTTATAGAAAATTCTGCAAATCTCAGTCTGAGGTCATTTTCTTTGGATGTTTTATGTTGCATAAAATACATTATTAGCATCATAATAGCAAGCATCCCAACTATCAGAGTCTGATACAGTAAACATAACTATATCTTCTTAGTTAAGATCTAATATGAGAGGCAGAGAATAAAGGATTAAGAAATAAACCAGATTTTATGTCCGACACACTAGTTACCATTTGAATTTAAACCATAAGAAGGTTTTATCTCAAAAACAACTGGGATTTAAAATTGTGACATAAGCTGGACACGAGAAATGTCAGATCAGCAGGGAATAAAATGATATCATCTGGTTGACAAAATTAAAACCATTAAAATAAAAATAAAAAACCTTTTTCATGGGTAATGTATTAAGCTCTTTAGCTAAATATCCCTTGTTTGCGTTGCCCTGGAAACAAGTGCATCCATCCCTTTCATCCCCTGTTAGGAGACCCAGTTCTCTCACAGTGACGGTTATCCTCTGAGAATCCAATTAAGACCTATTTCAGGCAGTAAGGTTCACATAACATTCATCTACTGGCATCTATTATATGCAGCTGTTCCACTTGATATTCCTGCAAAATGTCAGGTTTTTCTATTTAAATGTTTTAAAAGTACATTACTGCATCTATCGAGTCATTGTAGTATGTTTTTCACAGCTAATCACTAACAGTACAATTTCTTTAGATATCTAAAGAAAACTAGACTAATCAAAAAAACAAACAAATTTTTAATTTATTTGTTTACAAAGCCTCTGTTTCCCTTCAAAGCAACACTATATAACTTTCAGCCAATAGGGAAGCTCAACATGAAATGTCCAGGTTTTAGTAACAGCAGCATTTTGGGTCACATGATTCATTCAATTCAATTCTATTTAAAATTCTCCTTCTCACATATAAAGCCTTAAATGGCTCACACTGAGCCTGGTTCTGCTGGATGTTTCTTCCTGTTAAAAGGGAGTTTTTCCTCTTCACTGTTGTAACAAGCTAGCTTAGTGTGAGGGATTGCCTTCGAGTCAATGAGTCGATGCAATCAACTGGTTTTCCTTAGATAGAAAACTTTGAATCGATTTGACTGGATGATCTGGTGAACTGTAAAGTGCCTTGAGATGACATTTGTTGTGAATTGGCGCTATATAAATAAACTGAATTGAACAGAATTCAGTGACGGATCTGACCCTCTCAAATTATATAGGCAGGTTTTATATATATATATATATATATATATATATATATATATATATATATATATATATATATATATATGAAGGATTTAAGTATTTGTATTTGAGAGTAAGAGTAAGATTTATTCCTAAGATTCTCCTACAGAATAAAAATTATTTTAAATCGTGCTTGATAGTGTTGGAGCATTTGCAGCTTTGGCTCATCAACTGTATGACATCTCATCTAATTTCCTCTACAAGTAATTTGGCATCTGGGCAACTAAATCAAATTTGTTAATAGACTGCCAAACTGTTTCCTATTGGCCTTCATTTGACCTGTCAAAGCAGTGTTAATCCTAACCAAAGAGACATGGGTTTGCAGACAGATCCTCTTATCTCATTATAATTCTTAAACTAAATATTTACTATATTTGAACAGTATATTCTCAGAAAATGTAAAAAAAAAAAAATAAATAATGTCAAGAGAACAGGGTAAACCCTCAAAGGGCAAATCTCAGGATATTGATTTGGATGTACTCTGGTCTGATGACAGGAAGATTAAATCATGTTATCTAAACTACAGTATCTAATTATTCTGAATGGCAACAGGGTTATATGGTGGGGGTTAATCAACATTCAACCTTTGTGGAAAAATAGTATTTCCTCAAAAGTTTAAATGCAAAGAAACTCAGATTAATCACTTAGCGTTATGAAATAGAAGCACTCTTTCAATAAGAGGCACCATATAGCAGAATAGTAGTATATATATATATATACATTTTTTTTTTTTCCGCTACATCCTCCTTTTAAAATCTCACAATAATCATTTGATTATAAGATGCTATAAGATGATATATAAGATTATTCATATGGGCGCAGTCAATGTTTGCTTGCTTCAAGTTTATTGTTTACGCTATGGAAACAATCTCTTCTTTTAGATTCCAACAAAGTTGCCAACTAGCCATTTCCTAAATGAATCCCCGAAGCAAAACATCTATTTTTGTATTAAAAAACCAAACATTATTGCATAACGCTGTTTCTAAAAATTTGGAAAAGGCCTTTCTAATTGCTCTTTGCACATGTTACACACAAGCTATAGTGTTGGAGACAAAACTGTTTTTGTTTTTTTGTTTTTAACTAATGACACTGAAGCTTGAAACCACCAGTGCACATTAAATCAAATTAGGTAGAAAAGCATTAGAAAAAATAAGGATGTAAAGAGGATAAAGGAGAGAAAGATCTTTCCTCTCTTATATCCCAAGATACATTGGTTTAAAACAATTTGGTGTGCAGTGCAGATAGGCTGTCCATCAGCAATACTTCACATCATACTCCGTCAGTTACACATTATAGCCAACAATGGCTACGTTCACACTGCAGTTCTTAATACGTTAATGTTTCTGTTCACATGACAGCCACAAATTTTGTCCCTGAAGTGACCAGAATTCAAAGAATAACAAGACATGACAGAAGTCAGTGTCTATGGATAGATGGATTTAAAGCTGTTAAGCAGTGGAAGTCGCCGGATGATATAGCAGACGATGCAGAAAAAGGAAAGCAAAGAAGAAAGAGAAATAAAATATTAAAAATGGCTCCGTCTATGCTGTCCTCCATATTAGTTCCGTTGTAATTATTTTTATCAGTGCAATGACATCATTGTCTTACTAATTCCAATATGGATCACTTAGCTCTTCAGACTGCAGTCAAATTCCAAAGATCTGACCGGCATCAAATTTAAAGCCACATCCAAATGTGGCTCAGATCAGATTGGAAAAAAGTCAGATTCCTTGTGACTTGATCTGTATATACAGTCTTGATAGAATCTCACCTGAGTCATGGCAAAAAAAATAAAAAATAATTGGATTTGCGACACATTTGTTTGCAGTGTGAACGTAGCCAGTAAGTCTGCTTTACCACACAGAGACGCCATGCCCTGATTGCAGGGCTATTTAGAAGCCCCAATGCTCAGTGCTGTCTAATTTATTTTCTGTGTAATTAAAGCTGAGTGTAAACATTTTAGACATGTTTGGCAAACATTTTGTTTGCCAAACATTTGAATTCATTATACGTAGAAAAATCTGCCTGATAACTAGAAAAACCTATGGAAAGGTATTTAATCATTATTCTATTATCAGATTTATTTAAATACTATTCAATTATGTCGACACTAATACACGTTTAGTCTTTGAAGAATAAAGAAACATTTTTGCTTTTTTAGCGGATAGGCCTTAAGCTGATTCCCCAGGAGGTAAAAAGATGCTCATTCATGGTTAATATCCTGTTTTTATTGCATTCTCTGCAGAATGAGGTAAATCCTGCTCATCTTTAATAAGACCTTGGAAAAAAAGGTGTGAATCATCGGAAAGCATTGCATTAACAAAATCTCAAATGTGAACCACAGAGACCTGCTAAAGACAGTCTATAATGTATTTCTATTCAGTCATGTGTCTATTGTAAATCTCCGTAGTCATCACTTTGAACCTCTCATAGGCTTTGATGATAAGAATACATGTTCAATAATGAGTTGATCTTCTCAGCTGCAGAGCAGAGGCTTTCAAAAAGGCCTGTGGGAAACAACTAACACCCCCACTCTGATTTGTTTCCTCATAAAATACTGAGATAGGACGAGAAAAGGATGTCAACTAATCTAGAAAATCCAACAAGCTGAGGCTTAGATGATTATTTACAATAAAGAAGTCATGCCAAACAAGAAACTTTAATAAAACACACACAAACTAACAAGTGGTATATTATTAGCCTGCTTGCAATACTGAAATTACCTTTTACTTTTTTGTCTCCTTTTTTAACCATTACACTTCTACTGTGAAAGCTCAAGGCTGAACAAGAGAATGTGGATCTGTCTAATTTTAGGTAAGTACAGCCAAGCTCTGCTGGACATGGAAAACCACTTAGCGGTATCCCTGTGGTCCCTACAGAGGTCATCAAACGCTCTGGAAATAGAAAACAACATACTGTCAGAAACTGGTTTTAACCTTTTCTATGCACCTTGCCTTTTTATTTATGCACTGGCACAGAAAATGGCTGAAGGTTTTAAATATGCAAAAAATGAAAAAAGTGCAAATATATATTTTTTAGTTTTTACAGCACTAGAGGCTAATTTTTCTGAGAGTAAGCTGACAGGAAAGGGGGTACGTACATGAGTCATGCACACTAACCACTGCCCCATCTGCAGGCCCACTATTGTGGAATCTAAAGGAGAAAGCTAACCCAGCTACTAAAATTGAAGTTTAAATCAAAGATCTTGCTTCAAAAGTAAGCAAGTTTAACAGCACTGTATATTTTACTAAAGCATTAAAGTCGTCAACTGTAAATTCAAAACTGGCCATCCATATCAGCAAAAAAAAAAAAAAGTAAAATCCTCTTTATTCAGATCTAGTTGGCAGGTTGTATTTAGTTTCACACAAACAGATTTTTAAATCTCCAAAATGCCAACTGTGTTATCTGGCATCAAATGGAAAAGAGGCTTTTAAGCAGCAAACTTTCTCCTTTAATAATCTCCGAAAGGAGCCAAATCATTGGGTAAAAATCTCAAAGCTAACCAGAGAGGACCACATCCGTAATTCAAGCCTGTGCTGAAGGCAGAAATAACA